AGACACAAAATAATACTCTTGAAATGGAATGTTTTCCTAGTGTTGTGTGCTAGACTGTTCAATATGCTATAGGAGATTAATTTTCAGTGATGCTATGATTGGATTATTTAGAGAATGATGCGTTTAATGGTTTAATACAGCTATAAAAGTCAAATAGAACAATGTCCTAGACAATATCCGAAGGATCTCTACATATCATTCAGGATCTGGAAGAATCTGATTGAATGTGTTGGAAGATTGAATAGAAATGATAACTAGATGATATCTGATGCGCATTCTAGGAAATTGAATATCTGTTTACATTTTCCAGTGAGATGTGTTAGATTAAAGGATCCAATCTAAGCAGTGATAGATTTTCAAGTCTGGAATTGAAATAGTGTTTGATCGAGGATTATTCTGTTCAAGTAATTCAATGTCCAGTGTTCAAATCTAGATTGAATCAAAGATTTGGACAAAACAGAAGCGTGGAAATGGGATTATATTGAGATATATCACATTTGAAAAGGGATATACAGGATTAGCAAAGACACCTTTAAATACAGTACATCTGCGTTGTATATATCCCAGGGATAAAGATTATTGCAAAAATATTTTGTCAAGATATCAGAATGCTTGTACACGTGTTCATTAAAACTGCATGCGGCTAAAGAGAAGACAGGGGAAACCCCCTCTAATTGCTACACATGTACATTTCCCGAATTATTACAAATATATTGCGATTATGGATTAACAGCTGTCATTTTCAATGTATTAGTCTGGTCTGCACAATTAAGAGGCAAAGCACTTCAGATGTATGACTCATAGACTGTAGCAGACAATGTTGTGGAATACACTATTGGAAAACCTCAATCTTGGAGGAAATATCATTACAAGCTTAGATGCATGTGACATAACGAGTGAATAGGTATATGGAAATATTGCTCTTTTTGTTCTGTGTGGAAAGGTTACAGTGATCGTACTATGGGGATTTATGAAGACTGCAGCGGGAGTCATTTGTGAATTCTTTTGATTTAATGAATCGGATTGAATAACTGTCGCGATACACGCAGTGTGAGAAGCGTATCTGTTCCTGTTAATACCTTACTAACTAATGCTAACTGATGGATAAAACAAAAAGGATCCATTTTAATATATTCATTCAAAGACATTAAATAGGATACATTGATGCATTTAGTAATATCTGCTGATTCTCTGTAGAAGCAAATACACAGTGCCAAATATATTATAAAATGGAGGATCACGATCCATTGACATTCCGTCGAACAGGAGACACTTACAAAATTATGGAGGAAAAGAGCACATCCCCTGGGAGTACAAATGTGTATAAACCTCGTAGAGTTAAAGTGAAAGTACGCTCAAAGTCATATAACGAGTACCTTGATTGGGTCCAATGGTCCCCAGCATCTAAGGCAGTAAACCATAAAATGGTCGATAATAAAGCCAAGAATTTCTATAGGATAACACCTGAAGGGTAAGTTATTAAGATATCCCATATCTACTGCTATTTCTGGGGTTCAGAAATTTCCATCGTAGTCCCACTGCTCTATTTTATTGAGCTGAAATTACATTAGTATTTCTAACACATTTTAAAATGTCAGGCAATGAATGTATAACAGAAAGAGAACCTTATAATATCATAGACTTGGTTTTAGATACAAGGTTTATCCCTTGGGAAATATATGTATCTTCCTTGGAATAAACCCTCACATCTCCCTGTTCATAACAATTTTATTTAGTTGTTTATCTCCAACTTAAGGTCAATTCTCAAAACATCTAAATTGGGATTCATTGACATCTATGAATTGTTTACAAGTTTACTTTATCAACATCTTGAAAACCGACAGCTTTCTAAAAAACAGGCCTAGCTCTGGCAAACACTGCATACCCTCTCTTATAAATACAGTATATACTGTATACTGTATACTACAGTATGGGAAGAGCCTGTGGGAAATGTCTGGCTTCGATCATCTATAAACTATAAAAGAAGTAAAAATCTATAAATCAAAATTAATACTATGATTAATGTTTAGTCATGCGTCAATTCCCAGGGTCCTCTTATTCTCACTTTATTTTGGGAGTGAGTGGGATAATACAGTCAGTGCCTCGATGGGGTTGAGGGGGTTGAATAGTGGTTTGATGGGGGTGAGGGAGGGTGAGAGGGAGGGGGATGTGTAGTACAGTGCATTGAAGGAGATGAAGGGGGATTATACAGTGCCTCAATGGGGGTAAAGGGGGTAGCAAAGTGCCTTGAGATGCAAGACTAAGAAATGTTGAACACACACAAGTCAAAATGGTTTATTTAGCTTATTATAGAACTTGATTAAGTGTTCATATGTTTATTCATTTTCTAATCTATTATTATTACATATGCTTATGTTCTTGAGTTATGTGACTTATCACACATGACTCTTATTAGTTGCCTTAATTTTCCCAAGTATAGTCTAGAGAGGTAGTTAATATTTCGACCAGGTAAATTCAATTATACCTGTACTATTTAATAGACAATCTTCAACATTTTTGTTTGAGATTCTTTCTTGTGATGTTACATGTATTTTAAATATTCTTCTAATTTTGTTATTCATATAGATTAGCTGATGTAAAGCAGCTGTATAACAACCCAATTCACCTGTATATTTTACTCAACATTCTGTACATACAGGGTGTCCCGAAAGTATGGGCCCCCCCCTAGGCAGACATATACCAATGTCTCCATAGTATGTGTCATATATCATTTTAAAGCTTATCCAAAGTTACATTGATTTGCCAAGTATCATGGTTCAACTCACAACTGGTAAAAAGTTACAGGCATTTCAAAACTTAGTGTTTGGTCAAAAATATAGTTCATTTCAGTATATTGGCAACAGCCTTGACCTGAATGTGACCGAAAATATGGGTGCTATTAACGAAGATAGGATGGATATTGAGTTCTAAAAAGAGGACATTGAGGGTAGATACTCCAAGGAAATTCTTCTAAAATGCCTTAAAAAGGTTTTATGAGGATTACAAAATGCCACATCCCTATTTGAAGCATGTTTAAGGTTATATATGGAAAGCATTGCTGCTGTTTAACATGGCCTAGGGAGACACACCAACTATTACTCTGGTGTAAAACTGACTTTAATTTTGGCCAAACACTAAATTTTGAAATGCCTGTAACTTTTTTCGGTTTATGAATTGAACCATGATACTTGGCAAATCAATGTAACTTTGGATGAGCTTTAAAATGATATATGACACATACTATGGAGATATTGGTATATGTCTGCCTAGGGGGGCCCCCATACTTTCGGGACACCCTGTATATAGAAAAAGGTTTACTATATTTCAATATAAACTTATTCATATTCATTCATCGCAGTTAACCTTCTCTCGCATTTCTTCTTAATTTTATTCATATAAAAAGCAACCCTCACATTTTAACGTGTTACTTTAAAGGGCTTATTAGATGTTAAAAAGCTTTGCTATAGGACATATTAGAAAAAACTTTTGGCATCTATGTTAATAGTTAACATTTGCCAAAAACAACAATTACCATATATTATTTGATAATTAAATGATTGATGTAAACTTTTATATGTTATATATCAGAGTTGAATGCACACAGCATGGATATGGGAAAGGCACTTGTAAAACAAGTTGTCAAGTTTGCTATATATAAACTACATGTATATATACAAATTTATTGCCTTTGGGCATTTTCACATCTCAAATTGATCCCATATGTACAGTGACATAACTAACACCTATTTATATTAATTAATTATTACAAAATGTTATATGAACTGTCATTTACAAATACTATATATAAATCATCATTACTCGCTAATTTTTATTTTCACATTTGAAGATTAGATTATGTTCTAGATTTCTTACTTGCCTCATTACTGATGTACCCTTCAATTTGAGCATTCTATCTCATTGAGTATCTTTCCCCAACATATTAAGTGTCTATTTATCCCATTGAGTAGCTTTCCTCCCATACCCATTATTAAGTTCATGTATCTATATTGTCTCCATAGAACAACTCCAATACTTCCCTTTCCAGTGATGTAGCTATCCCACCCCCATAGAGTACTGAGTACTTCTTCCCTTCACACGAGCACCTCCCTTTCCAGTGATGTAGCTATCCCACCCCCATTGAGTACTGAGTACTTCTTCCCTTCACACGAGCACCTCCCTTTCCAGTGATGTAGCTATCCCACCCCCATAGAGTACTGAGTACTTCTTCCCTTCACACGAGCACCTCCCTTTCCAGTGATGTAGCTATCCCACCCCCATTGAGTACTGAGTACTTCTTCCCTTCACACGAGCACCTCCCTTTCCAGTGATGTAGCTATCCCACCCCCATTGAGTACTGAGTACTTCTTCCCTTCACACGAGCACCTCCCTTTCCAGTGATGTAGCTATCCCACCCCCATTGAGTACTGAGTACTTCTTCCCTTCACACGAGCACCTCCCTTTCCAGTGATGTAGCTATCCCACCCCCATAGAGTACTGAGTACTTCTTCCCTTCACACGAGCACCTCCCTTTCCAGTGATGTAGCTATCCCACCCCCATTGAGTACTGAGTACTTCTTCCCTTCACACGAGCACCTCCCTTTCCAGTGATGTAGCTATCCCACCCCCATTGAGTACTGAGTACTTCTTCCCTTCACACGAGCACCTCCCTTTCCAGTGATGTAGCTATCCCACCCCCATAGAGTACTGAGTACTTCTTCCCTTCACACGAGCACCTCCCTTTCCAGTGATGTAGCTATCCCACCCCCATTGAGTACTGAGTACTTCTTCCCTTCACACGAGTACCTCCCTTTCCAGTGATGTAGCTATCCCACCCCCATTGAATACTGAGTGCTTCTTCCATTCACACCTCTAGCTCTTCCATTCCATTGAATATTAGTGTAAAATATGGGAGACCTCTATCCAAACAAGATCTCATAAGTTTGAGCTCATGACAGGTTGGAAAACTTTGACTCAGATATTCTTCTGTTTTTGTATTCCAGGCTTGAGAAAGAATACAGCAGTGTCAAGAGCAAAGAGCAAGAAGAACAGGTTGAACTACGGGTAAGTTGCAGAAAATGGGAAAATGAAGAGTGAGAAAAAATGAAGAAATGTGTAATCTTTAAGATGGAGGAAAGTAGGATTAGCATGCGAGCAAGAAAATTACTTAATGCACTTTTGGGTTCGAAAGGGGGTAAGGGGGCTCGTGAGTAAAATAAACTAATAAAGAAATATTTCACGAGAAAAGTAGGAGCACTTGACTTTATTTGCTTGAATTCTTGTATAATGCAGCTGAATATAATAAAAAGGGCTTTATATTAAAGGGCTTATTAGATGTTAAAAAAGCTTTGCTATAGGACATATTAGAAAAAACTTTTGGCATCTATGTTTATAGTTAATACAATAATACACATGCAACATCTTTAGACATTGATATACGAGTACAGATATACCTTTCTCAAAATTCTCTGAAAACATAACAGTTTGAAAGAAATTGCTCATCAAGTTTGTGAATTAATTGCAAATTGAAAATTTTATGATGCGTATGTCAACCACATAGAGTTTGGAACGTATCATGCTGTTAACTATGTGAGCAGTTTTTCAGGCTTTGATATTTAAGAAAAGAAAGCATGTGGCATTATAATAGTCTATTGATTGTGCAAACTACAAGTCACCATGCTTTTTATATTGGGCTGTTTAAGGTTAAGTTTAAGACCAAAGCGTAAATTGAAATAAATCAAATATTTTTATCCCTGAATCACCCAGAATGCGCCAAATAAGTCTAAAAATTCAAAATTTTATATATTTTGATCCTAGAATCACTCAGCTAATTTTACTAATGTTTGAATTTTATATTTTAGAGACTAAGAACTGAAAACAAGCTTCTCAAACAGAGGATTGACAACCTAGAAAGGGTTAGTTTAGAGCTACATACATCCTTGTCTTAGCATTAAGACCCAATATGATATTTAAAAAAGTGAAAGTAAATAGCCATTGGTTTGACACACATGGACTTTATTCTGTATCAAAATTCCAGCAAACATCATCCGTATAAAAAGTCATACTGTATGATGGGATACCTGAACTTCTTTTTGAATTCATTAAGGGTTCTTAAAATGGTGTAATTCACTAAAATTACAAATATTATCGTTAATCACTTATGCTTTATATAACTGAGGTGAAGTCAAAACTTAATTTCAAAGCTTGTATATAACATCACCAAATAACGAAATGAGTTATTGATCTAATAAATATTTTTCAGGAGAACCAGACACTAGCAGACCGTCTTATCCAGGCTCAAGTCACACAGGCCACAATGCAAGAGGAAAAGTTTGCGCTTAAACGTGATATTTCAACTTCAAAGCAACGAGAGGTTGATCTCGTAGGGAAACTTGATCTTGCTGAGAAAGATGTGGAACGATTGAATCAAAGGGTAAGTTCAATGTGGATGTGTCCTTTCATTCCAAAGGTCACTTCAAAAAGCATCACACAGGCATTTTACTGAGTGATTCATTTACCGTATTAGTGGTAATTGAAGTACTCGTGGTAAAAGATATGACTGTCCAAAATCACTTGCCATACTCAATCTGGTCCTTTACATCGATCACTTGAATCACTTAAAGTAATGATAACATATTACATAATTTTCGGAATATTGCCCTATATTGGGATCAATCAATTTCAATCTATCAGGCAAACCCCCCTGGCTAAATATGCTTTCGAAATCATGCAGTTTTCACCATTCTATGCATTTTTCATGTGATTTTCGGCCAAATTTGTCAAAGTGGACCCCCTTGAAATTCTTTTTAAAAGTGCACCCCCTTTTGGCTGGCTATGGGCCTGCTGCATCTAGTTTATTAGTGATATATAAATGTAGTGTTCCTTTAACATAGTTATTATATGGATATGTATCAGTGTCTTTTATATACCTAACCTAAACGCTTAAAATAAAGACAGGGAAGTTGCCCAGATTTAGCTTTTGTACCATTGACTGAATCTGGGTGATTTAAATATGTGAATGTAACATTGTCAACTGTAACTGGAGTATACATGTCATTACTTCTGTATGTTTTTGGCCCCTTTAGCCATGTCTTTATGGAATATTCATCCTTAGAATTTACTTCAATTTTCTTATCAAAAACAATCTTCTTTACTAAATCTCCCTTTTTGACATCATTTTGTGTGAATTCATGCTTGACATCATATAAGACTTTGTTTGTTTTGTCAAGTACCTGGACTGAAGCTGTAAAGTTATAAGTTGTGGCTTCATAGGGAACAAAGACTCCCAGTCCAGCCAATGTAATTGTTTTATCTGCTGTGAATTTTAGTGCATCACATGAATTTCCAGGGCAATTCCAATATTTAGTAGCATGACGAGAAGTGAAGCGCTTACATTCTTTTTCATTGAATTTTTCCCTTGGTTTTGTGTTTAACTTTGGATTTGCACATGGTTTCCCGATCGTGATACATTCCAATATATCTTTGATTTCTTGAAGTTTAAGTATATCTGTTGGAGAAATGTGCTTCCCAAGCTCATCAGGTGTAAGTTCAAGTAGGTGTAGCTTGTACATAAAATCACCAATCATTTCCCTCATGTTGGCACCAGTGACAGGAAGATCTTGCTTCTTACATGCTTCCTTTGCCCATTTTTCTACTTCTGACTCTATGTTTAACTCATCTTGATCTAAAATTAGTCCAAGCAGTTCATTTGAACAATTCAAAAATGCATCTGATGCGAAAACATCTGCTGTATTGGTTGCTATAATTTCATGGCATTTCTTCTTCAGGGGTTCCTCATCAAACTTCAAGGATGCATCCAAGATAGTGCAAACATTATCTGGGTCTATGCTTTCATCAAGGAATTTTCTGCATTTTTCACCCAAGCCTGGAACTAGGTACTTCTTGGTAGCATAGACAATTTCCAGGACATTTTCTGGTGTTAGGATAACTTCCCCATAGTAAATGAATCTAAAAATGGAGGAAATTATCACTTAGAAATTTGTAATGAAGAATACAAAGTATTGTATAAAAATGTACATGTATATCATGACCCAAAAATTCAAAAATCATATATATGCTATTTATACCACTCTAAGTCCGATTACAGTTGTATAACATGGGTCTATAACAACGATATACAGTGGAGAGTGGTATATCGTCATCGTATACAACTCCTCCGTATACAATCCAGCGTATACCACTGTAGAAGTGCATTTTGGGAACTAATGAATATTGACCGAAGAACGAAGTGTATGTTTTGTTACACATGATTTCCAAGTGACGTCATAAATGGTTCCCACATGATTTGTTAGAATCAAGTGACGTCATAAATGGATCGAGATCAACATCGGCATTACCGAGTTGGCTATGGGATATTTTTATGGTTTTATAATTGTTGATTGTGTTTGAATCAACTGTAATTGAACTTAGAGTGGCATAATAAGATTATATTATGGTTCATTCTGTATATCGTGCATTTTATACTCTCGTGAGAATATAATATATTCACTCGTTCGCTACGCTCACTTGTGAATATATTATATACTCACTCGAGTATAAACACGATATACAGAATGAACCATTATATAACCTCATAATATATATCTGTTCTCCCTAAATTGAGATTGAATCTCTTCATTTTTGAAAAACCATACATTTTCCATCAATTAGATTTTCATAACAAATGCACATAACAATTCACTATGACATTTCAAAGCATTTACCTCATGATTTCAAGAAAAATTTCCATTGAAATGTCTGGGATATCAATGACATCACTTGTCTCCTTAAGGTCCCCATATAACATACTCTTGAACACATCACTGGCTGCCCCTATTATCACCTTATGAGCATACACTGTAGACTCTCGAGAGGCACCAAAACTGAACCTAAAGGAAAAATAAAATATTTTTACCATAGCCATCATTTTACATACATATATTCTGGAAATTGAACACAGTTTGACCTGCATGGTCATGAGTGAAATTGCCCTGCATGGTCATGAGTGAAATTGCCCTGCATGGTCACATTTAAGAAATCATCAAATGCAAATAATGATTGTCATGCAGAGCAGGTATTTATTCAAGCTGAAGTATTTACTGAAAAAGGTTTGTATCAAAGTTTATTCAGATGGCATGTATATTTGGTTGAGCTTTGATGCAATTGACCTTTTTCCATATAAATGAAAAATAGATGGCATCATGGGTATTGGTCGGAATAGGGTAGGGCTAGAATACATGTAAATGTATTGCCAGAGTCACTTAATTTCTTGATTTAAGAAATAATTCAATTTGGATCAACTTAAAACCCCATTGGAATGTAACTTTGTGATCTTATTGACATGTGGATTGTGATTTCATATTAAAATTGTGATCCTTGTAGGAGTTAATGGACTTTTAAAGGTTCTTCAGCATTGTGTCAATGGGGATTTAGCCCGACCTTTCTTAGACAACTAGAAAATCTTTAGAATTTGAATTAAGGTAAATAACAGTGCAAATCAAAGTTGTTTTGATAAAATTACACACACTACAGAACTCAAATATGCCAACAAATAGGAGAAAATGTTAGTCTTTAATGATAAAAAATGCAAATCTCCTAAATCTCATTAAAAATAAGACTTTAACAAGATTTCAATGCTATATGGAAAAAGGACCATTTAAAGAACTGGTGCTGAATGCAAAAATATATTCACATTAATCCACATAAATTAAGTGATTGATTTTGATTATACATTATATTTATACAAGTATTAGGTAGGTATGTAGGACATTTGTAGGAAGTAGGTATGTGCTAACTTACTGAATATCACTCATGGTTTGACTGTTGAAGAGACCTTTATAGCGGTGAACGATTGCCCCCCATTCCTCTGTGCCTTCAGGTTTTTCTGCCATCCTTCCAAGCTGATTATGTCTTGATCTAATATGATGGTATAACTTGAGTATACACCACGGTATAGTGTATGTTAATTCTCAGGTTTAAAATGGCTTACAACTTCTGACTCATGGTTTCAGTTCTTAGAATGTCACAAATCATATGTTTTATATTCAAAATCAGGTCAAGATAACATTAGAAGTATAGTCATATTGATTTTTTTAAAGAAGTGAAATAAGCTGTAAGATAAATTTTGTTGAGACAAAAATGAGCATACCTTGAGATAATTGTGTTTAATAAAAAAGTAAGGCCATGCAGGGCTTGAGTCAGCTTTTGCCAATGGGGGAGGGCAGTTTTTTTTATAAAAAAAATTAGGGGGGTTATGTTCCTTAATTTTGGCCCAAAATCACTTGAAGTGCTCAAAATGGTAGAAACTGCATAATTTTGAAAGACTTTTTGGCCAATGAGAACTCCCTCAACCCCCCTGGACTCCCTCAACCCCCCCCGGACTGCCATGTTTATTATAGATTCTTCCAAATCTTAATCGATTGATTTATTAGTTTTGAAGGCCCTTACAAATAGATTGTTTGTTTAGCTGTGCCAAGAAATTTTACTTGACAAATTATGATTGTTTTGAGCTTGGTTACTGGATATTTTGAAAAACATTTTGCTGAAGAGACAGCAAACTTACAGGGTTGAAATTTACAAATAGATGTACTGTTTACCCACCAAAGATCTCAGAGAGAATCTGATTATAATTAGATATTGGATATATTTTGAAAAATTGTCTCTCACATAAAAATAACAATAACAAAGTTGTTAGATGACCATGTGTTACAACAACTAGCTTTTTGTTATACACGGAGGTGACAATTACATTAGGTGACAGATGGAGCAAGATCTCTTTTTAATTTGCTCAAACAATAAACAGCAATGATAAAATATTGTTATTGTTTCATACCAGTCAAGGTATGTACAGTATAAATATATCAGATGCTAAGGACAATGAATATACAACCTTGTAAGCTTGATAAACAAGAATTAGAATTATTTTAACTCATTTGCAGATTTAGTTGGGAGGTTTTACAATATACTCAATTCTGTCTTGATATCACAAGCCAAAGGCCAAGCTAGAATGCTGTATTGAAGACCATTGTATAAGTGTATTAAACAATGCCATATACAGACTATGCTATACAGTGCACAAGGTTCAGATATTAACCATCATTTTTGAACTTGAATTTGTGATATTTCATAAACTAAGGCACATTGGGTGCTCAATTTCATCCCATGATTAGAAGGATATAGATCAAATATCACATGAAGATATATTTGATATGTATATAATATATAGATATCATATTTCAGCAAAAATCCCCAAACCATCGAATATCACTTTTGAAACCAACGAATATCACTTTTAAACCATGGAATATCACTTTTTTAAAGGTGACATTCAATGGTTTCAAATGTGATATACAATGGTTTCGATGTTTTTAAATTTTTTCCTTTTTTCAATTTTTATATCTTCTCATTGATATAAATATCTTCACTCATTTGCTGCGCTCACTCATGAAGATATCGATATCCACTCATAGATATAAATGATATTTTTTTCAAAACCATAGTGTATCCCTTTAATATCCCTCTGTTTGTTGGGGATACCTAATAAAAGGGAAATTTTGTCTATCGTTGTGTTCATCATTCTTAATAACGCACTAAGCATTCATTTTGTCTCCATAGCAAGGAATTTGAAATAGGAGCAGAGCACCTTTGGTGCCCTCAAAATAGTGTTTCACTCTGGAGATGTCCACTTCACAGGCTTCGCAGGTATTACAAATATCCTCAACATTTTACTTTCAGACCACCAATCTTACAATGGCAGAGGGGCAAGCAGGAATCATGATACAACAACTTCAAGAAGAAATCAAACAATTGAAACTTCAGATTGACAATAATAATGGTGCCATGAGAGAACTGAGGGAGAAAATTCGAGAAATGGAAGAGGTAAGCATATAAAAGAAAGTTGTACTTAATACTCTACAGTATAATACAATTTAACAAATTGACACAACCTATACCTACAGTATATTATATTTCATGAAGATGTTACTACAGATATTTATACCTTTTGAATTTTGATATTTAAGTAATGACATTGTCTCATATATCTTTGAATACAAAATGTGTGCATAAATGCTACAATTGTTTTTATGGTATAAATGCTCAGTGTCACATTGCCCTATAAAGCAGGGATATCCATATGTGAAACTGATAGAGGTGATATCTTTTAGAAACTCCAAACATTTATACAATTTTATTTGCATGATTTAATTCCGATGACATTATTCAACTGAACTACTGCCTGCTGTGAGTGTGGACTACAATAAAAAGCTACAAATTTAAAAAATCTAAATTACAAATAAGAGCATATCATCATACCACACAAAAGCCAGGAAATGAATTAAAAACTATTACATTACATTATTTTATTGTAGTTAAACCGGAGGTTGCAAAAGGAACCAACAAGTGAGATTCAATCACTACAAGAAGAGTTGATTGCTTCCAAACTGAGGGAAGCTGAAGCTAATCTTTCTATGAAAGAACTTAAACAAAGGGTCAATGAACTGGATCAGTTCTGGAAGGTATTGTAATTTGAGTTTTTGATTAAATATGACTTCAAAAGCATGCATCACATCCTCCCTGAAAAATCTGTCAATACACTGTTCTAGGTTGAGTGGGTATTTGTCTTATTTTTTGCAGGTTAAAAGGTCTTTTCATTTATGACACATTTTTAACTCATTATAAATGAGTAAATTAACTCTTTGTGAGAATACTCAAAACGTTGGCATTTCTTTGCCATCCAACATCAAGTACACTCAACCCAAAATACATGTTTTTATTAGTACATATGTAAATCTAGTGAAATATGAGGGCATATATCTATAAATTCTCAAACTTCTAACAGCAAGATAATGTTACTGGATTTTAACTATTGTCAATTGATTTTCAGAAACACATGGAGGCCACAAATTCACCTGACAGTAAAAAGTTGTCCAAAAGCCAGATGCAACACATCCAAGATGAACTTATGTCGGTGAAACTTCGGGAGGCTCAAGCTTTGTCTGAACACAAGGAAATGAAACAGAAAGTCATGGAACTAGAAACACAGGTAGCTCATCTTTAATTTGTAGAGATTTTTTAAATGTTCTTAGATTGTATACAAATTGATTTACCTTGTTTAAGCTTTCTAGTACATATCTACCCAAGACGAGACAAAATCTCTGAAGAATTGGCATATGGTAAAAACTGCAGCACTCTAAATTGAACACTTCAGAGTTCAATGATGCTTTGACTTATTTTTATATGAACTTCTGTCAGTAGAAAACCTCCCAAGTGAGGCATTTATTAGAGGTACAAATATTTTCATCTTACACAGGTTTTACTGTACTTCACTATTTTATATGTGATTCAAGAAGCCTCCTTAAATGTTCACTTTTTTTTAGAACCATATATGTATGCATCAGATGCGACGTATGGATGACGAAAAGGCTGCTTTGAAAGTTCTTATTGACGAATCGGAGAAGAGAGAGAAAGAATGTCTCCACATGATTAAAGAAATGGAGAGAAAATCTACAAATGTCTCTTCAAAGGTACTTTTTTGTTCATAAATTGCTAGAGAAAATAATACTCTATATTTATTGTATAAGTATAATAATGTACAGTATTGAGGAGTCTAATGATCACATTTTATACATGTATTAAAAGATTGCATGGTCTATTTCAACAGTATTAACTCATTCGCTACTAAGGACGTGATATGACGTCATAAAGCACATACGTTGACTACTAAGGACGTGATATCAAGTCCAAGCACAAACCCAATGTATTTTTAGGGGAATCTTGTAACCATGACAACTTATAAAATGGGACTTAAAAAACTATTCATTCTGAACGAGTATGTCATATGCTTTAAAATGATATATAACACTATATATGTATGCCCATGTATATACAATATATATTATTTCAGAGGTACCATATATGGCAATTTTCAAAATATCGTCAGTATTATAGTGCTTTTTGCCCCAGTATTGAATGAGTTAAGGTCATTCAACAAATCATACAATCCTGATAAGTAGTGTACATATAGATAATAAGCAAAGAGAAAGGCCTCTGAACTATAAAAAATAGTGTTGTATGTATCACACATTCTATGAACTTTCAACATATATCAATTATAACATTGTAACAAGAATAGTAGTAGTGCATTTGGTAATAACAGGTGTATAGCTTCACTTCTTGTTTGGTTGAATCAGTTTCCTATGTCATTCATAAGGTAATAATTGTTTAATTTGACCCATCTCCATAATGTGCTTCTATTTCATGAAATCAATTCAAATTAAACCCTACACTTGTGCTGTTTTCAGAAAAAGGAGGAAGATATGATGTCACGCATCAAGGACGCAGAACACTCTCAGGCCATAGCTGAGATGAGACAGAGAATTGCAGAGCTAGAAATTGAGGTAATTCTTAAATAGAAATCGGAATTCAGGAAGCATCTTGGATCTTGATATAAAGACATTTTGTCTTCCTAACAAAATGGATGAACCTCCATTGGAGGAAATTTTTATTTTCATAATTTTCACAAAGAATGAAGGCAATAAACAATAAACATCCAACGGCTCCAATAATTGTTTAAGAAACTCGTCATTTTAGCAACCAGGATGTTAATCAACTATATGCACACATTACACAATGCACCGAAGATGTTATGAAATTCACCAGATAACATCCTGGTTGCTGAAGTGAGGAGTCCTCACTCGATTACTGGAGTTGCTAGATATATTTGCTCCTGACTGATTAGCTTTTCAGTAACTGAATACTATAACATTCGGGAAAAATATTTCGATACAAATCGACCAGCTCCTTGTAGTCAGGAATATTTAGGTGAAAATATTTCAAAAATATATAGAAGCAATTTTAAGGTGGATTTCAAAACTTCATACCATCCTTTTGAAAACCTGAAGTGGCACCAAGCAATCCATTGACTTTTTCACCGAAAATCCAAGATGGCCGCCGCGATGTGTCAAAAAAACATAAAAAATGACTAAAGTTATGATTTAATAAGTCAAAATAGTTGTATACTGATCAAACATGGCTAATAATAGTACCTATCAGAAGTTAATATCCATTTAAATTCATTGGATCAATTTTTGTGTGAAAACTGGAGTCCCACAAGGCTCAACTTTATGTCCGCTACTTTTTTTGCATATTTTGCATTGACCATGGCATTTGCACATAACAATGCATAGAAATCCATTCTGTAACATGTGCACCTAGGACCACATTTCACCTTGCACCCACACTTGACCAATGCTTCGCATGCTGCTTGAGGAAGGGCTGTATATAGTGGCACCAGGAGGAACATGTCATACTGCCAGCCCCATGTTGTGAACTCCGATACCCATGTTGGATTGAGATTGTACAGTTGGCCCCAAACAATACCACATTGGTTAGCAAGTTCTTAAAATTTTCTGTGCAAGGGCTCCTTTTGTTGGTGGCATTCTATCAATGACTGTATGGCCGTCACAGAACATTTGCCTTCGTGCTGCATCAATATCTATCTGGTTGCTGGTTTGATCATATACTAGAACAGTAAAACGTTTAAGGGACTGAATGGCATGAACTGACAAAGTCAGGTTTGTTGTAACCATTTGTGCTACTTGTAGAAAAGCTGGAGTAACTTCGTTGAACACATTCCATAGCTTGAAGGGCAGATTCTTTGCTATGGCCAAAGAATGGTGCAATTATATAATATAATTTAATACCTGTAATTTTTGAGAGGTCAGAAGGCAATCCAGATTGACACTTATTGCACCCTAATGATTCAGCCATGGCAAGAACTTCACCAGTACATGTATCTCCAATGATTCTGATTATGAAGTCTTTTTTACCCTCTGAGGTCATCTGTTTTACCTGAACATTAAGAGTCTAGTGTAGTATCAGCTTCTTCATGAGTACAAGGTTCAATCATAACTGTAACTGGCAACTGAGGAAAGCACTTAACAGATTCCACAATAGTCATAAACATCAACCTCAAAAATAGAGTTGGCCAGGAATGCTAACAGCTCAGTCTTGTTCTGGTTGTTGTTTCTTAGAAAGCCTAACCAATTCTGGGGCATCACATTCTCTGCATAAACCATCCATTGCCACAATGAATCCTTGTCAGGGACTTCCTACTGTTTTATAGGTAGACATCCCAGATAACATCTTATCTTGAAACACCTTCCATAGGCCGCCTTAACTAAGAATGAGACATTGGTACCATATTATTGGAAGTTGGTTGATGCATCACATGGACCAGAAGGATGCCATATTAAAATTGCATCTGCAGGTGGCTTTTCCAATACTTTAGATCCATCTGGCTTAGCTTCTTGACATTTAAGTAAGTCTGCTTTTGTTGTAGGTCTCATGGCTCCGTGGTTATATAGGGATGGCGGGAACTCATGGTTTTCATATTTGAAAAACTCAAGACATGTCATTGTGTCTTGATTGGCATGCAATGTAGAGTAATAGCAAAAAGGTCATAATCATTTCTCAGTTCCTTGACTTCAGGATTCACTTGCATGCATAGTTGGTGTGGTCTAGGGAGAAAAAACAAAGAATCATCTGCAATGATTCCTGAGGTCAAGGAACTGAGAGAAGAAAATTACCTTTTTAGCTATGCTCTATATTGCTTGCCTTTGACAATCAAGACATAACAAATTGTCTTAGTTTTTTAAACATGAAAACCATGAGTTCCCGCCATCCCTAGCTAAGCATGGAGCCATGAGACCTACAACTAAATGACCTACTTAAATGCCTAGAAACCAAGCCAGATTAAGGCACCTTATGGAAGGTGTTCCAAGATTAGATGTTGTCTGGAATGTTTACCTACAAAACAGTGAGAAGTCCCTAACAAGGATTTATTGTGGCACTGGTGCTAGACGGATGATTTATGCAGAGATGCACGAATGCCAAAGAATTGGCCAGCCTTTCTAACAATCAATGGAACCAGACAAGGCTGTTTGCATTCCTGGCCAACTTTATGTCTGAGGTTGATGTTAATGAAAAGCAAATGATAACTACTATTTGGGAATCTCTTCAGTGCTTTCCTCAATTGCCAGATACAGCAATGATTGAACCTTGTACTCATGAAAAAGCTGACACTAGGCTCTTTGTTCATATAAAACAGATGACCTCAGAGGGTAAAAAATACTTCATAACCAGAAGTGGAGATACTGATGTCCTTTTTCTTGCCATGGCTGCAGCATTAGGGTGCAATAGGTGTCAATCTCGATTGCCTTCGGACCTCTCAAAAATTAGGTATTAAATTATATTATATAACTGCACCATTCTTTGGCCATAGCAAAGAATCTGCCCTTCAATCTATGGAATGTGTTCAAGGAAGTTACTCCAGCTTTTCTACAAGTGGCACAAATGGTTACAACAAACCTGCCTTTGTCAGTTTAAGCCATTTAGTCCTTGGAACATTTTACTGTTTTATTATAAGATCGAACCAGGAACCAGATAGATATCAATGCAGCAATGTTCAGTAACAGTCATACAGTCATTGACAAAATACCACCAACAAAGGAGCCCTTGCACAGAAAATCTTAACTTGCTAACCAAGGCGGTATAGTTTGGTGCCATAACCAAAATGGTTATCGAGTTCACAACATGTGGCTGGCAGTATGACATGTCCCTCCTGATGCCACTATGTACAGCCCTTCTTCAAGCAGCTAAGGCATGCCAAGCATTGGTCAAGTGTGGGTGCAAGGTGAAATGTGGTCCTAGGTGCACATGTTACAAAAATGGATTTCTATACATTGCAATGTACAAATGCCATGGTCAATGAAAGTCATTGAACTAAAAAAGTAGGGGACATATAGTTGAGCCTTGTGGGACTCCAGTTTTCACACAAAAATAATCTAGTGACTTTAAATGCATATGACTATCTAATAGGTACTATTATTAGTCATGTTTGATCAGTATTTAACTATTTTGACAAATTAAATGATGATATTAGTCAATTTTAGTGATTTGCCGATACATTGTGGCGGCCATCTTGGATTTTTGGTGAAACAGTCAATGGATTGCTTGGTGCCACTTCAGGTTCTCAAAAGGATGGTATGAAGTTTTGAAATCCACCTAGAGATTGCTTCTATATAATTTTGAAATATTCTGTGAACTTATCTCCTATTCAAACCTGACTATTGGTGCCAATGATGAAAATAGATATTTCCTCCGACGGAAGTTCATCCATTTTGTTATAAAGATGTAACATCTTGTAACATCTATATAAACAGGTGGGGACCAGTGAATCTTGTATAATAAATATCTAAATGTAACTTCTTTGCTTGTTATTCTCGAATTGAAATGCAAAAACCAATAACAAGATACTGTCAAAGGTGTATTGTATGATAAGATTTTACATACCAGGTGTAACTGTACACTGTATGTGTTGTAGAACCAGGAGCTGGTAACTGCTGGCCAGTTGAAGTCTACAGATGACGGTGAGGATGATATGGCAGGCAAGATAGCTGACCTCCAAGAACAGGTAAGAAAACTCAACATCAGTCATCTATTATGTCACCACCAGAAGTGATGACATATTTTTATAGTCTCCAACTTTTTTTGTGGATGGTGTTTGGTGTTTGGCAGTTGGTGTTTGGCATCTGTAACAAATGGCAGGTGTTGACATTTTGCATGTTAATGCCTTGTTATATCTATTCAAAAATCCCTCTTGTATTTATCTACTTTAAGTTAGATCCCTTGTCATCTTGTGTATTTTATGAATTTATTTGAAGATTATTTTTTTGCTCTAACCAAATCTTGGAAATGTAAAGTACATGTAGATCTATTCCAATATGTTACAAACTCAAAAAATAATGAATGATAATAAACTTTACTCCAGGTGTGGGACCTAAAGATGAGTCGCAAGATGCAAAGTGTATCTATGATGAGGCTTGCCAATATTGGTTGCGACTCTGAGAGTGACACGGAGAGTCTGGATGCAACTATAACAGAATCTGACAAATTCCGTTCATTCATGACCGAACAAATGAACTCATTGGATATGAACCTTGATGGAGAAAATGAATTGACGAATGGTATTCAGAGCGCTGTGTCAAGGGACGATTGCAGTACTAGAGAGCTAATCACAATAACTGACGATGATAGTTCCAAGACTGCTGACTCAGCATTTTTAGGAAGTGCAAATATGGATATTACAGCCACTAACACAAGTTCAATGTCAAACTTTTCCTCGTTATCAAATACTCCCGATTTGGTGAGCTGCTGGTCAGATGACGCATCGAGCACCAGTAGCGACCATAAATTACCACCACCAGGGGGAGCCAGCATAGACTCGAAAAAGCGATCAAGTTTAACACAGTGCAATACCGCTAATAATAATTATAAACAAAATGTGCCAGTAACAGATGCAGGGTCTGGACCCTCAATACCCAAGCATTCATTGGGTAACAAAGTTGAAGACAGTAATTTATTTTCGGATATTAATACAGGGACCCTTTCAAATAACACTCAAGCAAATGCTTTACAAACTAGTGCTCATAAGGATATTGAAGGGTCTCGGCAGGACTTAGGTGATACTAAGGGGTCTTTCTCTGGTGCTGAGGGGGTAGAAGTCCTAGATCAAATTGTGACACAAGTCTAGCAAATGAAATAAATGTAAACTCTTGAACTCTCTATTAACAGTTAAAGGTTTGCTCAAAATATAATGACTATGAAAAGAGGCTCCTCAAATGTGTCTTGATACACTTGAATAGCCCAGGAAATTGAATCTTTTTTGTTTGCCAATTTATTGATGCAACTTTTTGTTCAAATATGACACATTGAGGTGTCAACAGGAAGAAGATGGACACTGGTGTCACCTGATCAATTATAGTATTTGGTGTATTTGATTGATGTCATTTATTGGATGTCAGCTGACACAGGGATTTCACTAGAATTTCTCACAGCAGGCTAAATAAATGAAAACAACAGGCAAAATTAATGAAAATCATAAATTTTACATGGAAAAGTCCCTAAAAACAACAGGTGATTTTGTTAGAACAAACAGTGAAAATAGCCTGTTGCCTGCTGCTAATGAAACCCCTGTGACAGTCAACATCTAGCTAATGTCATCTGATTGGTGACATCTATTGTATGTCATATAATGGGTGTCAGCTGTATTGATCAATTTGTGGGGTTAACAGGTTGGGGTCATTTGATGGGTGCTACTTTAATGAGGTCATTTAATTTAATTTGAAACAAATAATCTGGCGAATTAATCTGTTTACATTATCGTACCACACATATATGCCATATGGTGTTTCATGTGAGATAATTGTAATTATAATGAAATGAAATACATGGTTGTGGTGTTATTTGTCAAGTACCAGGGGCAGATTGTCCTCAAATGTGGCAAATGTTACTGTGTAGTGGTGCAATATACTGTATCAGTAGTAAAACAATAAAAAAGTGTTTCAGGTTTCCAATTCATTAATTTTCATATGTGGACTCATTATTGTATCAGATGTTTAGGCCTCTATGATACCATGTACTAGTAGCAATAGATATTTGCCAAGTTTTAATAAATATATATTTAGAAGATGAGATATTAAATATCACACCAAATCAACATAAGGCATTACCATACATACATACATACATACATACATACGGGTATTATCCTAGTACCAATCAACCATTAGCTGCTCTTGTATCATGAATTTGGAAAGAGCCTTCCCCCACTCCATCTAAATACTTTAAGAAAATGTTATTTCACATGGGGAAGCCCCTTGTACATTCATGATTTCACAAACAAGTCTCAGTGTGATGAGGGTGTAAATACTACCTGACAGGGTGTCCAAAAAAAGTTGAATAACTGTCTGTTTTGCATATTTTGCCTTGAAATTTCAAAATCATTTAGTTCATTCAATGTGAATTTTGTTGTGAAAGTTTGATTATAATCTACCAATTGAGTCAAAAACTACAGCTCCTTACAAAACATGCCCAAAATGTGCACCTCTCATCCCTATGCACAATTCAATCTAGCGAACAAAGTTGTTGATGATCCTCCTACACACATGTCTTTCTGAATGGACAAGTTTGTTCCAAGAACAATTGCTACAGGGGCTTACATCCTCCTGATGAAGTGTTACAGCATCCATTGCATTCTGAACAATGCACTGCCTGGGTGGCAATAAGGAAACATGGAATCATCAGTCCCTTTTGGTTCGAAGGTGACTGGGGATGGGAAGGGATGTGCTATCACCATGAACAAGGACCAGTAAGTTCTCACCAAGTTTTGGAGGTCACTTAGCACCAGAAAGGACATCTAAGAAGATAATTAAGCAGTGGTTTCAACAAGCCAATACCATCCCAAGACTGCAAATGATATGCTGAAATGGTTTAGGCAATGCTTGGTGGTAGTTTTTGACACAATGAACAGATTATCATCAAACTTTCAGAACAAAATTCACATTGAATGAACTAAATAATTCTGAACTTTCAAGGCAAAATATGCAAAATTGACCAAGTTATATTCAACTTTCTTACGGTCCTGTTTTTTGGACACCCTGTACATACCCGTCTTCATTCACTTTGTTTACTTTATATTCAATATGACCAGGTCTAGTTGATTGAAATAAATGAATGCTCAAGTTTGCCAAAATACCATTCAATATGGTCAATAAATAACGGTTGTTGATTAAAAGACTTAAATGGCAAATTACATTTGGTCACAATAACGATTAATAAAAATGAAATGAATTTGCCCAAAATGTATTTGGAATGGACCAGACCTGACTTAATCAATTTTGTAATGGGATATAAATAGTACCCTAAGACATGTCACATGCGGGTGTGGAGATACAAGGAATGCTCATCCTCATAATATGTTAAGTCATGAATTTTCTTACAGTATCATTCATTAAATAATTCATTTTCATATGTAATATGTTCAGGTGTAAAAAATAAACAAATAATGTGTTTTTAGGTGGCTTTCAGGTCTGAGAAACATTAATTTTGAGTTGCGAAAACTGAAGCAGTCTTGATGCAATTGTTCTGTATTGTTTGTAATATTTATATTGAAATACAGAGTACTATACTACTATATATATATATCTAGTACAGTATATATTGTATAACATTTTGTGTATTTTCTTTACATTTAGTGTTAGTGTAAACAGTATACTGTCATTTGCTTTAATTTGAAGGCTATTTTAATTTGGCTGATTTGAGGGATTGATAAAAAAAAAATTCCCAGGACCTTGGGTCTCATTGAGAATTCTTTAAATATTTTGATTGTAACCCCATTTGTTACGTTTAGCTCATATATGAAGGTAAAACCTTTCTGTGACACCCAAGAGTAATCCAACCACATGATTACCTAGCTAGCCCTTCAATATCAATATTTTTAACTGATGGGTAAATCGCCCAAATTAAATAGCAGCCAAAATTTCCAAAGGACCTTATACACCCTCCATTGGGATCTCCCCATGGGAAAAAAATAATTCATCTGATTTTTCAAAATGAGTATTCTGCTTCAATTATTACATTTATATGCACACTAGTATCTTGTTGACCTATATTCAGCACTGTATTGATGTATAGGCCACTTATTAGGGTCATAATTCAATCATGAAGTGTAGAGGCATAGATTCCAAAACCAGGAAGTATTTTTGTGTCTGTCAAAATCCATTTACATCCTACGCATCCCTGCATCTTATCCAAATATGTTACTACATAATGAAATATAATAGTATAATCTTTGGTTTTACAAACTTGTATGATATTTGAGAAGTGTAAAAGTTGTTTTTGGAGCATTTTTCTATAGCCATTTTGTAGGGAAAAAAATGATGAAAAATGTACAATCTTTTAATTTTAAGTATGACCTGAATCGATTGCAAACTTCATATTTGCACATTTGGTGAGATAAACCATTTGTGTCGTATTGTGAAATTATTAAGTTTGCAATCGATTCAGGTCATAGTGTATTTTTGGTATTTCTGTGATAATCAATGGAAACCAATGGCCTCTATTGGGATCTGCTGATACCCTCATGTTAAGTCAATGGTGCACAGCCCCATGTAAGTCAATACAACCTTACTGAACGAAATGATCCCTATCTCAGCTTATGTGTGTCCGAGCACTTTAATATTTTCCAAAGTATTATATGACATTTTATTCTTCATGTTACACCTACGAATGATTCATTTTGACCATAGGGATATTTGCCAATAATTGCACCTTGTCCTTTGCCCAATCCACCATAAAATTAAATAGCGCCAAATTAAAGCAATTTACAGTAAACAATTAGTTTTACCAACATTACCATGAAAGTTAAAGTGTAAACAATCTGTTTTTTTAACATTACCAATCAGTTACATTACGAGCAATCTGTTAAAACAACAAGACGCATCAAAGTAAAGTATACAAACAATTTATTTTTCCAACATATGCAATTTCAAGAGCATAAACTAGCTCAAACTTGCTTAACTCTACTTCATGCCCGGTGATCGTGAAAATGGGACGGAGGGGGGGGGGAGCAGGCAATTTCCGCTAGAAAATTCAACAAATCTGGTAAAATTATTTTTTCAAGACAGAGTTTACGATTGAATTGCAAATTGAATAAGCACACGGTATGATAAAATATGTTAGGTATTCTAGGATTATTTTTCAACCGATACTCTTTTAAGATATAAGATCTATTAAAAAAGGCGCAACGCAACCAACGTGCAAAAGTCAAAGTTTTTGCTATAAATCAAGCAACAATGGACTACACGACCTGTAATAAATACTTGTAAGTGATGTTATCATAACTAAAATAAGTTTCCATACGTAAAATAAAAAATAATTAAAATGGGACGGAGGGGGGGGGGGGGGGGGGGGAGGGGACGGAGGGGGGGGAGTAATAATTCTATAAAGTGAAACAACTTCACACGAATTCTTGTATTTGAAAAATGAACTCATTAACTTAGTAAGAAACTGGATGATATACCCCTGGAGACTGAAAAATAGGGACATTTGGAGTAAAAGGACTTAAAGTCGCGAAACATCTCTAATCATGTCTTATATACATATTGCTCCCCCCTCCGTCCCATCCCCCCTCCGTCCCAAATTCATTATTTTCGATTATTTTTTATTTCACATATGGAAACTTATTTTATAAATTCAGCAATGACATTAATTTAGTTATGATAACATCACTTACAAGTATTTATTACAGGTCGTCCAGACCATTGTTGCTTGATTTATAGCAAAAACGTTGATTTGTGCCTGTTGATGGCCTTGCGCCTTTATTAATAGATCTCATACCTTAGATGCGTATCGTTTCAGAAAAAATCCCAGAAAACCTAACATATTCTACCATACCGTGCGCCTATCCATTTAGCAATTCAATAGTAAACTTTTTCTTGAAAAAATAAATCTTCCAGATTTGTTGAATTTCCTAGCAGAAATTGCCTGCTCCCCCCTCCGTCCCATATTCACGATCACCGGGCGTGTACTTAACTAATCAAAAAATTCTTAATTCAGTTCACATTCACCTTGGCAAAAGATATATCATTAAATGTTTGGACTTCAAATTAATTGATTGAGTCATTAAATAATAGATTGGTGATCTAGTAGTAATTAATTTACACAATGGAAAACTGGTTATACAACAAAACCTCTTTGAAAAAAGTTCTAGGTATAGTATGCCCAATATGGAAGAACATGAATTCACTAAAATAAAACACATCAGTTTATCTCTTTGTCAGCAATTGGGTGATTAATGTACATATCATTTGGTTGATCACATTTAATCTGCAATATATCATATTTTTGATTCTATGCTCTCCATAGTCTCCAGTTAGTCTGTTATATTAGACAGCTAAAAACTCAGACATCTTCCTTGCAGTCTTTGGCATATACTGTACATCATCCCCTAAAGGTCTTCCAAAAGTTCAGGAACATATGGTACGACACTACCTTCCTTGGTTACAATAACTGCATCCTTTAGTTGTTCACTACGCAAAATTGAACCTTTGCTATGCGTGGCCACTGTAAGTTTATGTTTATTTCTAAGATGAAGGCGTAAGTTTCCCATAATATTGGAGCAGTATTCACAGAGATGGCATTGGTATTTTTTGATGTTCTGAAAGAAATGAAGGAAATGCATGAGGACAATTGTACAGAACTCGCAGTGCCTTGGCCATGATCTTCCTAGGGGCAGGGCAAATATAGTAGGAGGGGAAAAATAGAAACAATAAATTTTAAAATCAAATGATTTTTTTATAATGTAATCACTAGTGCATATATAAACAAGGCATTAACATGACAAAATGTCACCACCTAAAACAATTTGGTCAATTTAAAGCAAGTTGGAAAATACCTTTTGACCTTAAGAAGGTTTGATTTGAACTTCTTAGAACATGTAGGCTAGATGATTTTGAAAAAAAAATTCGTCAATTTGAAGCAAGTTGAAAAAATACCTCTTGGACTTTTTTTGACATTGAGAAGGTCATTGAAGGTCAAATGTCAAATGTAAAGTCAGATTTGAACTTCTGAGAACATGTAGATGATTTTGAAAAAAAATTTAAGTAAATTTGAAGCAAGTTGAAAAAAGACCTTTTTGACCTTGAAAAGGTCATTGAAGGTCAAATGTCAAATCTAAAGTCAGATTTGAACTTCTGAGAACATGTAGATGATTTTGAAAAAAAAATTAGTCAATTTGAAGCAAGTTGAAAAAAGACCTTTTGACCTTGAGAAGGTCATTGAAGGTCAAAGGTCAAATCTAAAGTCAGATTTGAACTTCTGAGAACTTGTAAAGTCAAATTTGAACTTCTGAAAAGATGTAGATGATTTTGAAAAAAAAATTTGGTCAATTTGAAGCAAGTTGAAAACAGACCTTTTTGACCTTTTTTGACCCTGAGAAGGTCATTAAAGGTGAAATGTCAAATCTAAAGTCAGATTTGAATTTCTGAGAACATGTAGATGATTTTGAAAAAAAAATTAGTCAATTTGAAGCAAGTTGAAAAAAAGACCTTTTTGACCTTTTTTGACCTTGAGAAGGTCATTGAAGGTCAAATGTCAAATCTAAAGTCATATTTGAATTTCTGAGAACATGTAGATGATTTTGAAAAAAAATTAAGTCAATTTGAAGCAAGATGAAAAAATACCTTTTTGACCTTTTTTGACATTGAAAAGGTCATTGAAGGTCAAATGTCAAATCTAAAGTTAGATTTGAATTTCTGAGAACATGTAGATGATTTTGAAAAAAAAATTTAGTCAATTTGAAGCAAGTTGAAAAAAGACCTTTTTGACCTTTTTTGACTTTGAGAAGGTCATTGAAGGTCAAATGTCAAATCTTAACTCAAATCTAAAGTCAGATTTGAATTTCTGAGAACACGTAGATGATTTTGAAAAAAAAATTTAGTCAATTTGAAGCAAGTTGAAAACAGACCTTTTTGACCTTTTTTGACCTTGAGAAGATCATTGAAGGTCAAATGTCAAATCTTAAGTCAGATTTGAAGGTCAAATGTCAAATCTAAAGTCAAATCTAAAGTCCGATTTGAATTTCTGAGAACATGTAGATGATTTTGAAAAAAAATTTAGTCAAAGTGAAGCAAGTTGAAAAAAGACCTTTTTGACCTTGAGAAGGTCATTGAAGGTCAAATGTCAAATCTAAAGTCAGATTTGAATTTCTGAGAACATGTAGATGATTAAGAAAAAAATTGAAGTCAGTCTAAACAGTATTTGTTAAGTTATAGGAAGTTGTAAGAAATTGTTACAGACGCCGGACGCCAACCTCCAACCACCAACCGCCGGACAGTGGCGTAGGAACAATGTACGCCAAAACGCCAGTGCGTAGTGTTGAAAAGTGAGAATAAAAAATGTTTATTAATTTCCCTATGTTCTTTAGTCATCTTTTCTCATTTTGCATAAATTGTTAAAGTAATCTCGAGCACAATTGCTTAAAGAAATGTTTTTTGGATACCATATGATATGCTCGATGTTTTCAATAGTACTCTTTTGCAAGGTTTTTGTGCGTCTGGTATTTTTTTACCTGGGCCACAGATAATTGACACTTTTTGAAAATTGAAATATATAAAATATTGAAAGTTACCTTGTTTCTAATACTGTATAAAATGCAAAGTAATCATTATTGCTCTGTTTGGTAAATAATCATTTAACAGATTGAATTCCCTTTCCAGCATGCTTATTTCATGAAAATCGAGCCACTTTGATTATCTTATGAATTTTTTAAGGTAAAATACAGTTTCGCAAAATATTTGCGAATCGCGTTCTCTTCACGAATTTGAGAGAAAAACGTTTTTTTCAAAAACTACTTGATGAATACCTTTGCAATTTTTTGTGAACCTCTTCAAATTTTAGATTTTTTTTATCTCCCCTACCCCCAGTTTTTCAATTTCACAAATTCGATTTATATACGTTGCTACGCAAAATCAGGGACCAAAATTATATTAGAATAAGAATAAATCAGCAATTATCTATTTTCTTACTCCATCACTAATTGTTATTTGTAGTACTTCTTGAAATATGGATGTTAAAGACAAAAACAACTTGAAATTGTTGATTATTCAATTAGGCATACGCGTTCCTTTGATTTCAATGAGTTTTCACGATACCTGCTATCTTTGAAAGTACATAAAGTACACAACTTCAGTTCTAGAAAAGCTGGATTTTTATTTCATTTGAAAGATAATAGTGTTACAAAAAGTTTGCAGCATTAGGGTTAATTGTAACATTGATCACGAATATGTTTCTTTAAATAGATTGATCATACTAGTTTCTTTAATCTGTATTGTCGTATTGCACGATACACGATGGAATCAGACAATACTATGTATCTAAATTCAATTATTCAAAAATGATTAAAAATCTCTCATTGTTATTTGAAAATTGGTCGTCTATATCGTTCGAGAAAATAAATTACATTAGAAAAGTGAGAATGAGTTGCGTCGAGATTTAAAAGATCGGCTTTCCATGGTGATTTTATATGATGAAAAACGTTAAACATTCGAACATTTTAAGCACATTAAAAAGGTATGCCATGAATGACGTTTTAAGAGCATAAAATAGACGTTTTGATACAGAAGACATGACACAATTGTTTCATATTTTTGGCGTAGTGTTGAATTTACACCTTCCTACGCCCCTGCCGGATGCCGTCGCAAAAAAACGGAGACCATAACAATATGTCACCACTTTTGGTGGTGACATAATAAAATAGGTGCCGTGTCAATGTATTACAAAATAATAATATTATATAATACATTCATATTATAGAACTATATACAATTCCTTTGATGTAGAGAAGCAGAAAGCGGACAAGCTGGTATATAGTGTATCCTGTAGTGACACTGAAGTTTGAACTAGAAAAGCATGGTGTGGCTCTTTCTCGCTTTTATGTGTAAAAAACAATTAAAATTGACATGTGTTAACATACCTTATGTGTGTGCATGATTCTAGTATGTAGAATTAGACTATCTTTCCTTGGTAGCAGTTTATCACAATGTTCACATTTGTACCCCTTCCCTAGGCCGGAAATAAAAATAATAGTATTAACACTAAATCGGACAATGAACAGGACATTAACAAAATCACACCACCAATATCTGCTCAAAAGTTGAAGAACTGTAATGATACCCTCTTACATGTGTACTAATATGAAGGAAATGGAAGTTCCTGAAACGGGAGATTCATCAAACAACCTCTATAATGTTAACCAACAGCAGTAGGACTTTATATCCTGTGAAATGTGTACGGATAATATCAGACAAGCCGTTTTCCTGGAGATATTGTGAAAAGATTTGTTGAACAAGGCACATGACATGAACGAGATCACACCATCGACAAACCTTCAATATGGCCACCAGATAAACAAGATGGCCTCCCAAAAGTTAATAAGCTCTAAAACTTGATATCCTTTATCATGTGTGAGGATTTGGAGAAAATCCGATGAACGGTTTATCTTCAATGGAGATGACAAGATTTATTGAAAAATCTTCAAAATGGCCACAAGAAAACAAGGTGGCTCCCCAAAAGTTAATCAGCTCTCTGACTTGATATCCTCTATCATGTTTGCAAACTTGGAAAAAATATGATGACCAGTTTTCTTAAGATGGTGATGACAAGATTTATCGAAAAAAACTTCAAAATGGCCGCCAAAAAGTTAATCAGCTCTAGAACTTGATATCTTCTATGATGTGTGCGAATCTGATGAGCAGTTTTCCTGAAATGGCGATGACAAGATTTCAAATACTTTATGTTACTTTGTTCAGTATTAGGCCTACTAGGCTTTTCATTCTATGTGAATATGCCCCAAGTAACCCTCAAAGCTTTTCAAAGTCCATCCGCAGTATTCTACCGATTTCAATGAAGTAGTCCTCAAGGAGTTAATCAGAGAACTTGGTGTCCTCCAACATGTTCATGCATTGTATCTTCATAAATTGATACCAGAAAACGAAATGGTGTTAAATAATTGCCAAGAAGTATTTGGAGAGCACTCTGTCATGGGTTTGTTTCATCTGCGGCCCCCACCTACATGTAGGTGGATTTCCACCTACCTACCACACCACTAAGGTCTGATTTTTCAATTTTTCTCGCAATAATTATATCCATGTTAACCGTGAATTAACAATGGTCTATCCAGTAGTAGTAATGGATAAGCTTAGAACAAGGATTAATAGTCCAGCGTAAAACCAGATTGTATTGCCATTTTTTGTAAGGGGAATCATGCAATTAGTTTGAACTGACCATATATGTCGATCGAGTGGTCTGTTCACTTTGAAAGACACAAAAAAATATTTGTATAAACTCGGTTTAGTATTCCAATATAAACATATAAACAATAGGGGAGACAGGGTAAAATGGGATGCTCGATTTTCTTTTGGTAAATTATCCTGGCAATGAGCTGTAGAGATGATTTGGCGCCAATTTCAATAAGTCATCTTAAAATAGACCCGGGCAACACAAAGAAAGATTCCATTTTTTCAATGATGAGATACATCAAAGATTGGATTATGATAAACTTGAAATAGATTCTCGCCAAAATTAAAATCACACCCTGTACGTATGGTTGATGGGTAGGTCAAAATCCACCAAGGTAGGGGCGGCAGATCAAACAAACCCCTCTGCTATGTCTGTGTTCAACTGTTTAATAAGCACTGCTGATTACCTTTATGGTATGTTCTGTAATGAATTTCCTTTTGAAAGAAACTGGTAAATTTCTTCCCACAGACTTCACATAAGTATTGTTTAATTCCTAGCTTTTCGTGTCGAAGTTTGTGGAACCTGACAATGCATCGGGAAATATCCCAAAAACTGCAGCGATTGCATTGATATCTACAAAGAACAAAGCACAAATACATCAGGAATCGGGATGAGATTTAACAGTACATGTAGGTCATGCATTTGATGGAAATAAGTCATCTAAATTTGCCTGGGGGGGGGGGGCTCTGTAGGTTCTTTAAATAACCAAAGCATAAATAGAGATACATTTACTAAATCCATACATGAAATGTAACGTTTATATCACTTACTTCCCTCTTAATTATATGCCATTACCTTAATAAATTGACTAGTCGAAAGGTCTAACACCCCTATTGAATGAACGGATTAGTGAATGAACTCGTCCAATACACTGCCTATCCATGCTTCATGCTACGACCTACTTCATATTACCTTTCGACGACCATCTCGCTACAAGCCTTCAACAGAACTTGGAGCAACTATATTCGTCAAGATGATGAACAACGAGGACGTTTACATGAACACCTCAGAGAAATGTCCTGCTATCATTCTCCAGCAAGAAGAAGGAGAATGCACTGATGGAGACACAGAGCAAGCAGGGATTCAAGAGAGTGCAGACCAGAACTTCAACATGAGTCTGACTGACAACTTTCTCAAGGAGAAGATTTCTGTTCTGATGAACGAAATGCTTCAAAACAAGCAACAAGAAAGCCCAAGGAACAGTGTGAACACCAGGCACAGCAGTCCTCGGAGGCTTCAACAGGAGGCAAGGTCGGACAGACCAAGCTCAGCGGCAAGGAGTGATTTTGTCAGAAGTCCCCGCAAAAGTTACAGGAGTCCCCGCAGGAGCCCTAGCCCATGGAGATTTCAGGACCCCAGAAGCCACGCAAGTCCCAGGAGACGTGCAAGTCCTTCGAGACGTGGCAGCCCCAGGAGACGTGGGAGACATTCGAGCAGTCGGGACAGAGTTTGGAGCCCTAGGAGACCAGAACCCAGACGTTATACGCCGGAGAGAAGAGGTCATCATGACCGTCATGGTGAACACAGTCCACGCAGGCGTAGTAGGTCTTACAGTCGTGAAACTAGTGTCTCTTCTAGTTACACGCCTAGACCACGTGACCCGTCACTTCGTAGCAGCAGAGACAAGCACAGAAGTCCCCATAGGAGACCAAAGTCCCGCTCTAGAAGCAGAAGTCCAGTTCGAACGAGGTCACCTAACCCGGAAGTGATTGCTCCAGTTTCACTTTCGAAAGAAAGTTCAACCAATCACAGTCTCGAACGTCACGAGGGGCCCGAGGATATGGACTCGCCCAGTGAAAATTTTCAAGATGGCGGCTCCAGGATTTCGGAAGAAGAGAAAGTTTTGGCTTCGTACAACGCGGCGGCGATATCACAAGTCAAAAACCTGTTACCAGACGCTAACCTGACGCACCAAGTTCCAGACAGAGCGGTGGTTATCAAGCCCTTGGCATCGCAGTTCTTCAAAAACGAGTCTGAAGGTAATGAAAAATCTTTCTTACCATTATCACCCACGGTGATGACTTGTTTTTCTAACAGATCCTCGATCATCGCGAACGATTTCGCCTTCAAAAAAGTAGGACAACTTTCCCGAAACGACAAGGCATCACGCTTTCCAATTCCTCCAGCCGGAGGACTTGTTGTTTCGAGTATGAGGCCAAATTCCAGCCTGTCAGCGGTGATGTCTGAAGAAAATTTCAAGAAAGCTGACAAGGATTTGACTATCAGCAAGACCCAGTATAGGCTTCTAGAGGAAGGCTTAAGATTCCAACTGAAACCTCTGGCATATGCAGAATGGCTGTTAGGTGCAGTGGCCAAAATTCTCAACGATTCTTCATCCACTGATACTAAGATGTTGTCTGATCTACTACAACCTGCAGCACAAGCCATTGGCTGTCTGACTGATCAAAATGTGAGACTGCTGTCCAACGTAGTTCTACTTAGGAGAGATGGCTTCTTGAAGAACATGACTTGCCCTTCTGCAGCAAAGGAAATGCTCAGAACTCTACCCATAAACCCTTTGGCTCAGGAATTATTCCCACAGGAGTCAGTCACTGAAATTTTGAAGTCCAACCAGTCTGATCTCACCAACCAGGCTTTAACTTCCTTGGCTAAGATGAATGCGAGAGCTGAATCAAAGAAGTCTTCTCAACCAAATAAGAAAGACAACAACAACAACAACAGAAAGTCCAGTTTCAATAACAACAATGGCCCTGGTAAAAAGAACAGCTCTAACTCTTTTCGTGGCAAGGGAAGAGGAGAGAAAAAATCACAGTGACTATCTACCTATATCATCCAGTCCTCCAAGTCTTTGTCTCCCACAGCTACCTGTAAGCCCTCAACAGCTACCAGTGGGAGGCAGACTACAGCATTTTCTTGCCAAATGGAAAGAAATCACAGATCTAGGAGGATTTCTACAGATCATAAAGGAAGGTTACCAGCCGAAACTTCACACAAAACCTACCCTTACATGCAATCCTTGGCCTTTCCAGTCATCAACAAGAGACAGAAAAGACCTTTATGCAGCTACAGTCACTCAACTTCTGGAGAAACAGGCCATAGAAGTTGTCCAGAACGTATCCAGTCCAGGCCTATACAGTCATCTTTTCTTCGTCCCAAAAAAATCCGGCTCTCTAAGACCAGTCATCAACTTGCATCATCTGAACCTTCATCTAGAAGTTCCAAAGTTCAAGATGGAAACAGTAGCACAGATCATGGATGCAGTACAGCCTCAACAGTGGGTAACGTCCATAGACTGCGTAGATGCTTACTTTCATCTCCCAATCAAGCAGTCATTCAGGAAATACCTGCGCTTTGTTGTTCAGGACCAAGTACTTCAATTCAAAGCCCTGCCCTTTGGTCTGGCATCAGCCCCGATGATTTGGACACATCTGTTACGGCCTCTAGCAGCTCATCTTCACTCCAGAGGCATACTGTTTCATTATTACCTCGACGATTGGCTGATTCGAGGCAATTCACCTACAGTAGTTCTACAACATACTCAGATGGTGCTGGAACTGGCTCAGGCTCTGGGTTTCCTCATAAACTTCAAGAAGTCGGAACTACAACCAACTCAGAAGTTCACTTATGTGGGAGTAGAATACGATCTCAGCAAGGGAATTTGCCGTCCCCCTCACGATCGAGTAGAAAAGATATGGAAAGCTGGACAACATCTTCTAGAGAAGGGAATAGCCTCAGCAGAAACTTGGCAGTCTCTACTAGGCCTGTTGTCATCTGCGGAGAAACAAGTGCCATTGGGTCGTCTTCATCTACGACCTCTACAGTGTTGTCTGTTCCAACAGTGGTCTCCTCTATCTCAGCCCCAGTCACATCTAGTTGTCCTCTCACCAGATGCTCAGGGGGCACTCCTATGGTGGCTAGACCCCAGGAATTTACAAGCTGGTCAGCCTCTCAACAGATTTCACCCAACAATGACAATCTACACAGATGCATCGTTGGAAGCATGGGGGGCCCACACACAATCGCAGGAATGCTCTGGAGTCTGGTCCCAGTTGGAATCAAGTCATCACATCAACTTTCTGGAGTTACTAACAGTCAAGAAAGCTCTGATGTTCTTCAAGGAAAAGATAACTGGACAGAATATTCTGATTTGCACAGACAGCACGACTGTAGCAGCATATATCAACAACCAGGGCGGAACACATTCCCCTCAACTACTCCAGTTAACTCAGGAGATTCTCTTATGGTGTCACAATCAGCAAATTGTACTCAGAGCGAATCATATTCCAGGATCACTGAACAGAAGGGCAGATCAGTTATCCCGGAAAAACCAGATTGTCAACACAGAGTGGTCTCTTCATGCAGACATAACCAAGAATCTATGGAAAATATGGCCAACTCCCAATCTGGACATGATGGCCACATCTCACAATCACAAACTACCAGTTTACGTGGCTCCAGTTCCAGATCTTCAGTCGTGGAAAACAGACGCCATGTCACTGAATTGGGACAACATGTACTTCTACATATTTCCCCCAACAGCAATGATAGCAGCAGTCCTGAACAAACTGCAGGCTCACCAAAACACAAAATGTGTAATGATAGTACCAAAATGGCCCAATCAACCATGGTACCCAGACCTTCTCAGTCTACTAGTAGATTTTCCTGTACTGATTCCAATATGGAAGAAACTCCTTCTTATGCCAAGGACCTCGATTTTTCATCAAGATCCAGAAAAGATGTCTCTACACGCTTGTCTGTTATCAACAATAACTTGCGAGAGGAGGGGTTTTCTGAAGAAGTGTCCAAAGCAGTACAAAAGTCTAGGAGAAAATCTACCAATGCCATCTACGATTCAAAGTGGAAATTATTCTCTGTTTGGTGTTTGGAAAGAGATACCAATCCCATCGAGGCATCTATTCCAATGATTGCAGATTTCTTCATTTATCTCAGAAACACTAAAAAGAGGTCTTTTTCTACTATCGAGGGCTACAGAACAGCTATAAACAATGTCAGGAAATCTACACAATCTAAAGATCTCTCAGAATCACAAGTGATACATGATATGTTGAGATCCTTTAAATTAGAAGATGCAATTCCAAAGTCTACCTTACCCAAATGGGACTTGGTTTTTGTACTTCATGAACTATTAAAGCCTCCATTTGAACCTATGAATTCGGCAGATATCAAATGGGTGACTTTAAAGACTGTATTTCTTCTACTGTTAGCCTCGGGCAAGAGACGTAGTGAGATACATGCCTTAGATGTTACAAGGATACAATGGAAAAATAACAATACAGAAGTTTTCCTCTATCCATTCATTGGTTTTCTGCCAAAGAGCTTGGAAGCAGCAGAGGGACAAGCCAGATTTCAACCTATACATCTGAAATCATTGGCAAGCCATGTGGGAAATGATCCAGATCGATGCTTATGCCCACTTAGAGCACTCAGATTTTATCTTGCTGCTACCAGAGTCTTCAGAGGTACCAGGAATAGGATCTTCATACCTTGGAAGAAAGGGTGTAATAGCAATTTACACTTAAATACTTTATCCAGCTGGATGAAACATCTGATTCTTCTAACCTACAATAATTCCACAGCTGAGAGTAGAAGAATTGGGAAAGTTAACGCACATGAAATAAGAGCGTTATCAGCCTCATATGCAGTACAGTCGAATGTTAGCCTTACAGAAATATTGAAAAGTTGCTCTTGGGCTCACAACAACACTTTTATCGACTTTTATCTGCGTGATGTCACAGTCCTACAAGATGAAGCTAGAAAGCTAGGACCTGTGATGCTGGCTGGAACTGTGTGCGACCTGTAGCAGGTGCAGTAAGTACACAACAACTTTTTTCACCCCACCTATCCAATATGTTACATGCTATGACATATAATTAAGAGGGAAGTAAGTGATATAAACTGAAGATTTTTTTTTATTAAATCAACCGTTTATGGAACTTACTTACCTCTTAATTACCAGAGACCCACCCACCTTCCCTGCTTGAGGATAATTTTTTATTTTATTTTTTTTGTATCTTCGAGGTCTCTCGGTAATATGAAGTAGGTCGTAGCATGAAGCATGGATAGGCAGTGTATTGGACGAGTTCATTCACTAATCCGTTCATTCAATAGGGGTGTTAGACCTTTCGACTAGTCAATTTATTAAGGTAATGGCATATAATTAAGAGGTAAGTAAGTTCCATAAACGGTTGATTTAATAAAAAAAATCTTCAATTCTACCATTCCATTATGTTGCTTTCAATTGTTACACAATTTTGAAATTACTGTTAATATCAGGGTTTATATGCTGATAAAAATTTACATAGAACCAAACCTGTGATAACCCTTTGGTAGTGGAATTTTGTGAACCTTAGATTCGTGCTGCACCAAACGACATCTTTCTCTAAAGTCTTTTCCACAAGCTTGACAAATATTCGGAACATTTGAAACCAATTTGGTTCTTCTCTTTTCTGCAGCCCCCTCATCATGGGTTTTCTTGTAGTGCCACTACAATATCAACAGACACTTATAATTAGGTAGTAAGCTAGCACCCAAAAATGTATTAGTGCGTGAACAAATTGAAATTACTTGTTTCTTATGTATTTTTATGTGATACTTCAGAAAATGTTTGTCTGACGCGCCGTATCCGGGGCGAAAGTTTTCAAATTCGCTTTTTCGACCCTAAAATGGAAAATTACAGGGGGTACTTTATCATCATTGAATAAATCATTCAGTTGGTCTTCAATCATCATAATAATTTTATGGGGAGTTGATTGGATCATTCTCAGGTAGTATGTTAAGTTTCAATAACCTGTCACTCATGGTTGCCATGGAAACCACAATTTTCATTGAAAAATCTTTAATTTTGGCAAAACCTGTACAGGTACATAATATAGAATGTGGACTTTTTTTCAAATCAACAGATACATATTTATTAACAACATTAGGCCGCATTTTTGTGCTATCCCATTGGTTGGGTATAATCAGGCGACAGTAACACAATTTTCAGGGCGGCTACTAATGCACACGCGCGATTTCTATTGGTTAAAGGGAATAAAAACCATTCGCGCGGAAAACATGAACTATTCGCGCGACCATTCGCACGGTTCTGGCGGCGATACCGCGTCATATGAATGTCCCTCAAATCCTGCGAATTTTAGGCACTGGATCTAAAAAATTTGTCCTGCGAGAAAATCTTTGGGGGTTGACAGTACTGAATTTGCCACACATATATACATACTTTTTCTCTTCTCTTAGTTAGGAATGTCTTCATACAAGAAGGCACGCGGCATGGAACTGGTTCCCTCCTGCGATGTGCTTCTAAGCAGTCTTCTACAGCAGCCTTTGAACAATACATTTGACCACATTCCTGAAAGAATATTCATTCACACTCATACATGTAATGGCAAAATTCAAGTCAATGAAAACATAACTAAATAACAGCAACACCAAAGTGTAGCAATCCTACCTAACAACCAATGACTGTGTCCAATGGCCAGAGATGGATTGCTAACAAAGACAAATGTGTACAACATGTCCCAACCAATGGGTGATCCTATATTTATCCTGAGTGCATTAGCTGGGAAGTTTAAATTTTTTTTAATTGATCTGTCAACGGTTTGCCTGGAAACACACAGACAAGATTTTGCAGATAAGATTTTAGGACAAAAAATACAAAATGGCTGCTTTAACATTTACCTAAAATGCCAAAAAACTAAACAGTTGTTCTAGATTTGCATATAAAGAATCATCACTAAAAATTTGAAATGGATTCATCATTAAATGGTACATGAGTGCATTGAAATGTGTTAGCAAACTTTACAGACAATATTTTCGGACCAAAAAATGGCTAACAATGAATTTCTGCGGCGAGCGTAGTTTTTCTACTTGTGGTCTCCGTACGGTGTATCCAGTTTTTTACAGGGTAGCCGTAACAATTATAACTGGGAGTTATAATATTTGTTCATTTCTGCGGTCTCCGTAGAAATCAACAGGCCGTTGCCAGACCGCAAAAAGGTCCAACAGTGACCACAGGTCGGGTTCCGTTGACTTGCTTCTGCTGTAGGGTTTGATGGGTAATGTACCTTTGGAAACAGTTTTTATGTCAGTTTTCAGTCATATTTTTGCTGTAAACACGACACAATGCGTGTATTGTTAAAAAGAATTGATGTTAATCAACATAAATTCAAAACTCGCCATGTGGCTGTCATTGGAAATGTGACTGCAAAAGTATGAGACCGCAGAAATTCTACGGCGAGCGTAGAAATGTTACTGACTGCAGAAATGATAGACCACACGGTCACCGTAGGAAATGTGACTGGGGTGTAAGGAAGCAGATAGAAATCTTTGCCGATTTCTTTTACTAAAAAATTATCTCATTAAATCAGTGTCACCGCTATTTAAAAAAACAAGGCACATGGAGTGAACGAGATCACACCATCGAAAAACCTTGAAAATGGCCGCCAGAAAACAACTATCATGTGTACTAATTTGAGGAAAGTCTGATGAGCAATTACCTTGAAATCCGATGACAATATTTATCTAAACACCTTCAAAATGGCCAACAGAAAACAAGATGGCCATCAAAAAAGCGGGACGATCAAAATAACGATCACAATCATGCAGTCATCATGACAACTATATCCCACCGATGGTCACAATCATGCAGTCATCATGACAACTATATCCCACCGATGGTGTGATAAATAAAAAACTGTTGGACATTTGAACAGACAGATTGGCCTAGGCCGACAATATGGCCCCACTCTATAGGGGGGGGGGGGGTGTACATAAACAGATAAACTAAAATAAATAAACAAAACAAAATTGGTTGGATATTTTTGTTGTAACTTGCATTTTACATTTTCTTTCCCGTGCAACAAGTAGGACTATTGTACAATTGCAAGGTTTACCAAGTTCTGACTCCAAATCGAGTTGGAGCAAGTCCCACACATCACTAATAATTTCATTGGGTAAAAATTATTTTTTTCAAATGCTTCTAAACATTGGGTAATTATAATTTGGAAGCACTCAAAAAGAAAGCTATGGGCTTTTAATGAGGGAAGTTTTTTTTATTAACACCTCTTTCAAATCACACTCACGGGACTATCATTTAGAAACTCCTGTACAAAGAATGGGTATCGATATGGCGAATTTTTTGAACATACGTTTCTCTTAAACCAGTTATCAAACATTTCTGAAAATCTTACAAATTGTCAATTTAATGGCCATCTTTTGAATGGTAACAATATAATTTGAAATAGATATACATACTTTCATCTATATTGTTTTAAAAAACACATCAAACACTTGTTTTGTTCTTGGTATCATGTTTCCAGAGTGAAATGAAACATCTTTCCGAACCTCATTGGAACAAAACGACATAAACACAACATGTTTAGGTCTCTCAATATTGTAATTGTACAAAGGAAATTTTGGTTGATTTAAAAAAGTATCTTGTTAATGAAATAAAAGGTTTTTCTTGATTTTTATATATTTTGGGGGGATTTTGTTTTAATTTTTTTAATACTTTTTTAAAATCAACCAAAAATTCCTTTGTATAACTTTAATATTGAGAGGTCTAAAAACATGTTGTATATGCTATTTTGTTCCAACAAGGTTCGGAAAGACATTTTATTTCATTCTAAAGAATTGGTAGAAAGGAGCAAAAACAATTGCACTAAAAAAACAAAAAATGTTAACAAAAACAGTTATATAAAATATTTCTAAATAATTTTCGCATTAAATTGTTGTCAATCAGTCAACATTACATAAAATGCCATGTTTTTTTTATAGAATGTTTTCAATGATTGGTTTAAGAGAAAAACATTGTTGAATTCAGTTCTCCATATCGATACCTTTCCTTACCATGAAAATTATGCAAAAAGTGAAAGTACCTCGCACTGCAATGTTAGTTTCGGCAATTTTTGTTTCTTGATTTCTGATTCAAGCACCTGAAAACACAATATAAAGTGGTAAAGATATAGGGTACCTGATTTTTTGACAAGGCATTAACATGACAAACTGTCACAACCTTTCCAAGGTCAATGAAGTTCAACCAAAGGTCAAATCTCAAAATTAAAGTCAGATTTGAATTTCTGATAACTTGTAGATGATCTTGAAAAAATATTGGTCCAACCTTTTTTACCTTAAGAATGTCATAGGGGGTCAAATCTCAAATCTAAGGTCAAATATCAACTTCCGAGAACTTGTTTTTGAAAAAGTAATTTGGCTTATTTGAAACAAATTTGAAAAATACATGGTTGGCCTTTTTCGACCTTGGGAAGGTCATTGAATGTCAAATCTCAAAATTAAAGTCAGATTTGAACATCTGATAACTGTTGATGATTTTGAAAAAATGAGTCAATTTGAAGCAACTTCGAAAATATAGCAGTTTGACCTTTTCCAACCTTGAGAAGGTCATTGAATGTCATTAAATCTCAAATCTAAAGTCAGATTTGAACTTTTGAGAGGCTGTAGATGGTTTTGAAAAACTAATTTGGTCCATTTGTTCAAGGCAAGTTCGAAAATACCATTTTTGACCTTCAGAAAGTCATTGGAGGTCAAATCTCAAATCTAAATTCAGATTTTAACTTCTGAGAAGATGTAGATGATTTTGGAAAAATGATCAATTTGAAGCAATTTGTTAAACTTTTTTATTATGAGAAGGTCATGGAAGATGAAATCTCAAGTTTGAACTTCTGAAAACTTGTGGATGATTTTGACAAATTTGAAGCCAGTCTAACAGTACTTGTTAAGTTATTGGAAGTTGTGAGAGTTTGTTACATGATTTGTTTACAAGCACATAATCAACCAGAACAACGGCAACGCCAAAGCGTAGCGAATCCCATCAAACAGAAATGGCTGGCATTTTTACATTTGAAATATATAGCAAATATCATAAACACCCATAAGAAGCCCACCATTTTCAAAATGATCACTAGCCAAGTTGTCATCATAAGAAGTAATATGTTTTTAAGTAGCCACATATAAAATTCTTAAAAAATTGCCAATGCTAGCCATCTTTTAAAACGGCCACTTACTACCCAAAATGTCATAAGACAGTATATGCAATCCTTATGAGTATTCACATATCAAATATGAACAAAATCGCTCTATTACTTTTTGAGTTATAATAAAAAATGTAAAATAACACACATAAAAATGGTGGCCATTTTTCAAAATGGCCGACTACTCCCTAAAGTTTTATTAGACAATATGCCATGCTAAGTATTCACATATCAAATATGAACAAAATTGCTCCAATACTTTTCAAGTTATCGTAAAAAATGTAAAAATGACAGCCATTTTTTAAAATGGCCACCTAGTACGCGAAGTGTCATGAGACAGTGTACAAGGCTCATGAGTATGAGTTTATATTTTATAATAGCATTGAGAATAGACTTCCACACATTTATAATTATTTTAAGACATGTATTCCCAATAATGGTTTAGAATGGGTGCTTGGGGATGCGGCCTATGCTATCTTGGGTCAAGAACAAGGTTATATTTTTGATGCATGCTCAAAGTATTTTATCAAAAACATATATGTAGCACCAACAAGTTAATGTATTGCAAATGTTTTAGTTTTGTTTTTATGTCTTATTACACAAATGTTTTTAGCTCTGCTTTAGAATTGTACTTGTACACATGTATTGTATGTTTTAACTGCTGCACTAGTTTAACTATGTGCCACTGATCTAAAAGTGATTGCAATAAATTAATAAAATAAAAAAAATTAATCACATATCAAATATGAACAAAATCGCTCCACTACTATTCAAGTTATAGTAAATAACGTAAAAATGGTGGCCATTTTTCAAAATGGCCACCTACTACCCAAAGTGTCATTAGACAGTGTGCCATGCTTATAGTATTCACATATAAAATAGGATCAAAATCGCTCTATTACTTTTTGAGTTATAGTAAAAAATGTAAAAATAACACACGTAAAAATGGCAGCCATTTTTCAGAATGACCGCCTACTACCCAAAATGTCATTAGACATTGTGCCATGCTTAAAGTATTCACGTACCAAATATGAACAAAATCGCTCCACTACTTTTTGACTTACAGTAGAAAAATGTTAAATGACGCACGTAAAAATGAAGGCCATTTTTCAAAATGGCCGCCGACTACCCAAAATGTCATATTACATTGTGCCATGCTTAAAGTATTCACATACCAAATATGAACATATTTTTCAAAATGGCCGCCTACTACCAAAAATGTCATTAGACATTGTGCCATGCTTAAAGTATTCACATACCAAATATGAACAAAATCGCTCCACTACTTTTTGACTTACAGTAGAAAATGTTAAATAACACACGTAAAAATGGCAGCCATTTTTCAAAATGGCTGCCTATTACCCAAAATGTCATTAGACATTGTGCCATGCTTAAAGAATTCACATACCAAATATGAACATAATCGCTCCACTACTTTTCAAGTTACAGCAAAAATCGTAAAATGACGTGCAAAGGCAGCCATTTTTTAAGATGGCTGCCATGTATTTCTTCTATAATTACATTTCTAGCTTAATCAATGTTTTATATAACTTTTTTACATTTAAAACATACTGCTATTAGAGTTTTATATGCAGTACCTAAATTACTGTAAAATCGGCACTAAAATGTCCGCAATTTTCTTTTAAGCGTCCATTTTGAAAATCCATTTTCCAGCAGAACTTCTTCTCTCATTGGGTATATGTGTATAAAATATGAACAAAATCGGGCCAGCGGTATTTGAGTTATTGCCCGGACGGACGGACGTACGTATGGACGGACAGACGGAGGCGTTCCCTATATCCCTCCGAACTTCGTTCGATGGGATAATAAGTCTTTTAGCTATCCAAGTAAAATCATCGTCAATCAATCATATTTTCCTTATAAAGTTCCTACCAAATCTAAAAATGATAAGTTTAACTTTAAATGTTTTTAAAAGAGAAACAAGAGGGACAATTGTTTTTAATTGAGAAACTCCCAATTAAGATTGACAGTAAATTAATGGAAAAAATGGAAGTACCTCGCATTGGAATTCTGGTCCAATAATGTGATCTTGTTTGTGTTTAATCTTGATGTGGCTATTCAAATATTTTTTTCCGACAGTAGCATAAGTACAATTGGGTTCCTGCAAACAAAATATAAAATCAATGGTAAATAGAGGATAATTAATAAAAGGAAAGCAAATAATTTCATTCTAAGAGAAAAAAAATTACGATTATGAAAGGACTAAAAGTAAATAACATATGGAAAGATTACTGAAGGTAAATAACATGGAAAGGACACTATTAATAGGTCTTTTAATAATCCAAGTACAATCATCTTCAATCAATCATATTTTATATTTTCCTTATTAAGTTCCTACCAAATCTGAAAAAGATCAGTTTTAGGTTAAATGATTTTACAGGTACCATTATATTCATGTTCCACTTACACAGGTTTTACTGTATTTTGAATCTTACCTTCTTATATTCCTCAGCACATTTCAGAAGTCTGAATCCAGATTGGACAATGCCATGTTTGTGATACATATGACTAGCTAGCCTCTGATTGGATTCAGAATGACCCTTTTGTACTTTTTCTCTATAATTGATTTTATAAGTGCAGATGTGACAGTGTAACCCACCAGGAGATCTGGTTGCAGGGATCTCATCAAATGATGGGAGCAGACATTTTTGCAGGTGTTTCATCCAATAATCTTCGCTGACAAATTTGTTGCATTTATAGCATGGGATTGACTCAATTATCAGCTCCTCCTTATCATTTGTCTGATAGCAGAAGTAGCAATGCCTGAGAAAACGTTTATAATTTAAGTAAATTGGCATTTGGCAATTATTACAACAGTAAGCAAAATTGTCTTGAGCAAGATTTGAAGCTGCCTTTCTTTTGATGACATCTTTAACTCGTTCTCCGGTCCAACATGTAATAAAATGATTCAAAAGTTTTAATTCGTTTTTAAATCTTCGTGTACAGTTAGGACACCTTATCCCTCTTTGTGTTATTTCAAATATCTGAATTTGTCTAGGCATACATTTTATTTTCTTTCTTTCACCTGATTGATCGTTCAGTCTTTTACATTTTACCCTACAGCTTCGTTTGATTGTGACTGGTGCATCACCATTGATTTTAGATACCTCTTCCACAGAGCCATAAAGCGCAGGGACTTGCTTGCTTGGGTTATGAATCTTTGTAACGTTGTTATCAGTTTTATTGTCTCTTGTGATTACCTCCTTACTTTCTGCACAAGTTCCATTGTATCCAATATTAATCTCATTTTCCACTACAGAAGTGATATTTGCAAGTTCAACAGGCCAAGGTTTAATGTAATCTCCACCAAAACTAGGTATATTAAAGGGACTATGAGTGACTGCATATTGACACTTTTCCTGATATAAATCCAAATACCTTTCCTGATCATTCAGAAGAGTTTCTTCATGTATATCATCCCTATGGATATTTGTGCCATCTTCCCCATCTTTGAATTCATTCATCTTTTGGATATTCACATTTGGTACATCCTGGAAGTGATTGACCATATCAGTATTTAGAAAAGATGAGTAAGGACGATCAATATATACCTGTATGATTGTTTTATCTTCCATCTCAAGCTCAACACATTGCGATGTACCACTATCATTTTCATTGTCTCTATTTAGCAAGTTACTTGTTATTGTTGCTGATGATACATCTTTAGTTGTTTCATTATCATAATATATTTCATCTTTAATTGCATCTGTCAGTTCTTTAGTTGTGTGGACAGATTCATCAATTGAGTTAACTCTATTTTCATTTGAGTTTGGTTCATCATTTGAGTTTATTTCACCATTTACATTCCATTGATCATTCTCTAAATTTGCCCCTCCATTTATGATTAATTCATCACCATTTGAATTTCCTTCATTTGCATTAGAGATCAATTCAACACTGTTTAAGTCCATTTCATTAGGCTCTAACTTAACCTCATCCAGAGCATCAAGGTTTCCTAAGTTAATAGGAGAGTCTTGTTCACTCGCATCAGCATCATCTTCATCACATTCGAGGTTCATCAGGTGTCTGCTCTCAGTCTTACTATAATGAGCTCCACCTTCAAATGAGTCTTTAATATTTATTATAGATGAGTATGGATGATCAATATATACAGGAATGATTGTTTTATTTTTCATCTCAAGTTTAACACATTGCGATGTGCCACTATCATTTTCATTGTCTCTTTTCAGCAAGCTACTTGTGATTGTTGCTGATGATGCATCTTTAGTTGTTTCATTATCATAATATATTTCATCTTTAATTGCATCTGTCAGTTCTTCAGTGGTGTGGACAGATTCATCAATTGAGCTTACTTTATCTTCATTTGAGTTTGGTTCATCATTTGAGTTCAATTCAGGATTTACATTCGCTTGATCATTCTCTAAATGAGTCCCTTGATTTATGATTAATTCATCATCATTTGGGTTCCCTTCATTTGCATCATTAGAGATCAATTCAACACTGTTTAAGTCCATTTCATCAATCTCTAACTTAACCTCATCGAGAGCATCAAGGTTTGGTGAATTAAGAGTTTCTTGGTCACTCGCATCAGCATCATCTTCATCACATTGGAGGTTCATCAGATGGCTGTTCTCAGTCTCCATTTGAGGTTCTTTTTCTTCAAATGAATCTTTATTGATGTCATTTGATGTCTCTCCTCCCATACTTTCTTTATCAATATCATGTTCTGGTAAGATGTTTCCTGTTTCCAACGATATATGTTCCTCTTCAGGATTATTTCCTACACCTTTTGCAGGAAGAGTTTGAGATTCTGACTTGCTTGTGTCAGCAGCTTCATGTTTTTTGTAATTGGTTTTGTAATGAAGATATTGTTTTTCTTTGGCTGACAAGTCTGATATCTGAAGGCTGCAGATCTTTACATAAAGGGGTATTATTAGTTCTGTAAGGTATTCTAATTCAAGAATCCTGCTAGCCTTAAATAGAAATATGCAATTGTCAAGTGTTACTTCAATATCTCCAGTGTAAATATAATGTAAGATATTCATCATGTCTTTGTTATTCAGTCCTTGTCCTAATTGTCGCCGTACATCAATTATGACTCCAGAGATTCCTGCAGTACCACGCTTGCGTGAGATAAGGTCAAAGCATTTTCTGAAATACTCAGACGTAGCTATTAATATACACGAGTGAGCATTGACATCAACATCACAAGTTTTTATCTTAATGTCACAAGCCTGTTTTTGTTTCAACATGTTCCATAATTTTACAGAAAGGTGTGATAGCTTTCCTTTGTGTCTTTCATCTGACAATAGGACCTGAAAAACAGAGTGTGAGTTTTCTTAACTTTGACAGAAAGCTCTTTAAAACAGGAATATATAGAGATTAAATACTACGACTAAGTAATGTCTGCAATGTAATTGATTTTTAAAGAACAGAGAATACAATCTTCAATGCATATTTTTGTATATACATGTAATGCATTGTTAGATATAGCACTAGTTTCTTGAAACTCATATATAGACGTATGATTCAAGAATAAAAATTCTAAGTGCTTGCATTTACTGTACACAAATTCAAATACAAGACCTGCTACTTACTGGATCAGATAAGGTGTATGGTGTTGTAACTTGGCTTTGATTCATCTTTTCACTTTGTTTAAGTTATCTATTTTGTCACAAATGTGATTGTGAATGTTTTTCTTAGTACCAAAACCTGAAAGCATGAAAATAAACATGTATTAAAATGTGGTATAATTGTCGATAAGAGGGAAAAATTGATGCACCCTTGATATATTGTTGTCATGGAAGACACGGTGCGGTAGCCAAACTGCTTGCCTACTATGCACGCAGTTTGAAAGACTGACAAACTGCGCGCCTATCAACATTGCATCATAAAAGTTGGAGTCTGTGTTTTCAAACGTCATTTTAAGACATTTATTCCGAATTGTTTTATAGTTCAACACGTCCATTCGGTGGCGATTATATGATTCAACCATGTGATAGCGAAATGCATGTCCAGATGAACGTAGGTTTAAAAATATAAGCAGATTAATACAAAAAATTGACATCGATATTTCGATCACCGATACATAAGTTGATATCGCACGTTTCACAGAAATATAAAACACTTGGGTTTTGATTCACAGGTAAAGCTCAATCCAGTTTTCCCGTACAATACAAAATATTACGTATTAAAACAGATGAACATGACAGAAAGAAGTAATAAAACACAAACTGCGCGCCTATTTTAGCCAGAAATCACAAACTGCGTGCCTACTCTTCCAAACTGCGTGCATATTATCGATGACTTCTCAGTAATGCAGGCCTATGTGATTTCATGGGAGTACGTAAGTTAGTTGAAAAGGTAGAGATTGAAAAGGTTCAAATAAATCAAACACTAAAATTGGGTTGATGGTTGACAACCAGTGGAAATGTACATATTTATATTTTATTTTGTTCTTGTCTATATGATTTAATAAAAAATTGATGCAATAATTCGACTTCATCATATAGAGTTGAGTTCAAAAATCTCATGAAAATGGTTTTGTTCTATTGGGGTCCTACTAAAAGACACCCAGGTGGTCCCCGCCTAGTCCCCATCGAAGTGCCTATTTTACTACTTTATTTCAAACTAACATGGTGCATGATGCATGGTGCAACATAAATACAATTCGTTCATAAAAATTGTGTAAATATATATTGAATCCTTTTTTATTTATATTTTTGATTGATGCAGTCCAAAAAGCCATTTCTTAGAATTCAATGAATTCCTCATTATAAAATGCTATAAAAATTCACAGTTTTAGCAACATAGGTAAAAAAAGATATTTACAACAATCTCACTCTTTCGACTTGAAACTTATTACCCATGTAACCATAAATAAGTGACCATGCATGCATGACGAGCAAAAATTCAGAAATTCAAAACTTTTTCACTTAAATCTTTGAATTTTGGGGGATACAATAGTTCAGAGTCTATTTTATAGCATATACCAAAGGAAGTAATACTTGAATGTCCCGACTGCAGTACATGTATAGGATACGTATACGAGCCTGATAAATCCATAGAAATTGAGGAAGGGTTGACACAATGTACTATTTTTTAAGGTTTGAGAGGACATCGGGCAAGAGGTTTTCACAGTCTTTTAATGTTTTTTCAAATGAGTCACTGGTATCTTTAAATAATCGCCTCTTTGGTTTCTTGATTGGTTTCCTTTTCTTCATTGGTGCGTTTTAAAATAACATCTTGTTTAATTCTGAAGGGGGTGTCATGGTTTTTGAAGATGCGCCGTTGTTATCTACATTTTTGTTAGGGTCAGACTTTGGTTTCTTTTTATATAGGGACAGGTTTAGTGAGTTTTCTGAAAATACACAACAAACTTGCACACAGCTTGCAAATTAGGCGCGCAGTTTGTAAATATAGGCGCGCAGTTTGTAAATATTAGGCACGCAGTTTGTGAAATCCACGTGAAAGTATGCACGCAGTTTGACAGCGAAAAAAATAAAATCACGTTAATGGCTTGTCACTGCTTAACAAACAAACTATATTACTTAAACCATGTGCAGCAATCCTATATCTTTCAGAATATGCAAACATAAGGGCTGAATAAACGTCAAACTACGAAAAACAGACATTATATGACCCAACACTGTATAATTTTAACACGAAAGCTCCTTGGGAACCTTATTTTGAGATAACTAGATATGCATCGGGTAAAAAATCGAGTGCTACGTATAAACTAAGTTAGTCTCCACATCTTGGTACTGTCTGAAAACCAAAACTAGCCTAGTATATCCAGTCATTTCCATCCTCTTGGGAGTCGTGTCCTCCCTGTCTGTCATTTTGTGAATAGGCGCGCAGTTTGTCAGTGTTCCAAACTGCGTGCATAGTAGGCGCGCAGTTTGCCTACCGCTCCGTGGAAGAGATTATTCATGTCCATTTACCCCAGGGAGGGGGGTTCACTGTATTTAAAACTTGACAAGATCTTCGTCTCATATTGGGTACTTTTTTTTGACATTTGCTATGGCTATGGACCCAAGTTTTTGGATCTGTATGAGAATGCCCCCCCCCCAAAATCTTTTGAGGTATGGCAATGGTAAACTTTTTCCACTTTGTTTTTGGTATGATAATGGTCGTGGAAAATGTGTTACCGCTCATTTAGGGTATGGCATTGTAGTGTTGTTAAACATATTCTTATTTGATGTTGTTTTGGATCATTTTTATTAAGATTTGCTTTCTTCTCAAGGCTTTAGACATTTTGAATGACCTTGGTTATCTGGATATTTGGTATGACATTGGTCCTATATTTGGACATTACGTATGGCATTGATCTTATATTTGGACATTTGGTATGTTGGTTGGTATGGGAACACAATGAAATTTGACAGATTGGCATGGAAACATATTGTTAAGACCCCCACCAAATTGGTAGACAGTGAACCCTCCGGGTATAGATACATGTACAAAGTATAATGAATGAGCTCATATTGTCACTATGAGCTCATTGTTCATGTAGGCGTATCTGAGCTTGTATTCGTGAATGCTAATAACAGCTTTCAGATAAGCCTATTATGGAATAAATAATCATGATAGGCCATTCAATATGGTGAAATTTAGTACAAATTTGACAGAATGTCGTGAATAGCATGAACTGAAGGTGAGTGCATTTGCACTGAGATTCTGTCCAACGAGTGTAGAATTTCACCATATTGAATTGCCTTTCATTATCTATTCTGATTCAAACATGAAAATGAAAACATTGTTCAGAGAATTAGGGATTGGGGATCCATAAAATAAGGTATGAGTACCGTAATCCAACGCCAAATTCGAAAATTCAGAACAATACTTTGCACATATGGCGTTCGTGATCAACTATAAAACGCTTCTTACCCCCCATAGTGTTATATATCAAAATGTACCTGTTCATATAGGGGTTCGATTGATCTACATCAAATCAAAGGGAGTCAGGTTACTTTTTGAGATATCAGCGTCGATTTATTGTAACTCGCGTTTGCTACCATTTCCTCAAATCCTTGCCTAAATCCCAAACGCGTAGTAAACATGCTCACGTCGGAACTATTATGACCTACATCGCTATTTTCGTTATTCAAATGAAAGTTGAACTCCTCCTCTTTATTTTGATACCAAATAGTGGCATACTAGGTACCCTAGAAGCCAACCATGGCGTTATTTAGAACAAAACCACAGGTTTTTAAATGGACTATATAGGGGTCATACCTTTTGGCGGATGGATATTGAAGAAAATGATACGTCTGACAAACAGCTTTCATTCCCTATATGGCACACCTTCTACTAAGAGTTGCATCATTGACTAAATCTACGACAAAGGCCCTATGTCCCGAGGATTTTGACTGAAATTTGGCCATTTTGGCCAAAATCTAAGTAAATAGCAGTTTCCCCAACAGCTGTATTTTGAAATAAATATTGCTACAGTGTAGCAATGTAAAAATCACACGCTTACTGTTTCTGTTGACCTGACACGTGTATCTAGCCTTTAAAAATGAAAAATCGCTACATTGTAGCAATTTCTGTGAGATATGGGTCCTCAAAATCATGTAATTTTAGCAAAAAAATGGAGAAATAACCTGCAATTTTGATGGAATTTCAGAGTGCTTTCTTTCATTTATGACCCTCCAAGGGCCTCTTATGACCATTCTTATACGCACAGATGGGTTGAAAGTGATTTTAAATCGTTGTTTGCCCTACGCAGAACGAAAAAATCGATTCCTTTCTCAAATTCTGCTAGAATATTGGTCTCTGGCCAGCTAGCAGAAATTTTAGGCCTCATATTAATGTTTTGTGACATCACACTGATTTTTGTCTCTGCAACTTTTTTTGGCAGAAAATATCATTTTTAACTCAAAAATGCATAAAAACGTCGGAACTGGCTGAATATGTGAAAAATTTATCCATTTAGGCTAGAAAGGGTTAATTTGCCCTACCCCAAATACGTCTAAATGTGCTAGTTTAACTTTGCCACTGTGACGTCACAAATCTAACCTGACTATCTCTGAGTTTATTGAAGAAAATGATACGTCTGACAAACAGCTTTCATTCCCTATATGGCACACCTTCTACTAAGAGTTGCATCATTAACTAAATCTACGACAAAGGCCCTATGTCCCGAGGATTTTGACTGAAATTTGGCCATTTTGGCCAAAATCTAAGTAAATAGCAGTTTCCCCAACAGCTGTATTTTGAAATAAATATTGCTACAGTGTAGCAATGTAAAAATCACACGCTTACTGTTTCTGTTGACCTGACACGTGTATCTAGCCTTTAAAAATGAAAAATC